GTGCGTATTCTTAACAGCTAATTTTGACATCCGCTTAGAACTACAAACTTGGGTCAAAAAAGGTGGAAATAAACTACAAGCATGGCAAATGCACAAGATCTATGGTTAAGTGGAGAGGCTTAGTTAGAGATTCACATCTAACCTAATGAAAAATATGTATTATTTTATGCTTTCTGCATTATATTTAATCTCTAGCAACATTGTAAACTTTTATAAACATGCGTTTGGTCATTTACTTCATAATACTTCTAAATACAGAATTTGTACGATTAAGATTTTTTGCATAAAAAACCCATGAATGGCAGATGAATGTGCTGCTACATCACCAATATATATGAAAGTAGAGTAGAATTCCTGATATGACTGACAGAGCATGTAACAAAGCAACGGAATGGTCCATTAATGAGGAATTAGTATGTACCAAAAGCATATTTTTCTTCACAAAAAAAGCACATTTTAGGATGTAATATAAGCGAATTGGGATGCAGCAGTTCATTATTAGTACAGTGGGGAACTGAAGGTCTTTTGTTTGACATGCTATTAAAGGTCACATATATCAGCGTCAGCAGGTAGAGCAGATTCTCCAGAGTCCACCTGCTTCCCAGCAGAGCTTCAAACAGGCCAGAACCTCCAGAGATTCAGGCTCACTGAGACTTTGGGAGGACTGCAGATCAAGGTAACTTCAGGTTCACTGCAAAGCTGCTTTTGTGTCAGTTCAGCCCCGTTTAGAAATGGTGTTTAGATGATATTTAATCAATCCAATCAATTTTTTGAAACCAATTTCAATTACTTCCAGAGAAAACAAAACACGATCTTGAGGTTGACTGTTCATAAAGTAAAAAAAAAAAATCACCCTTTCTGCCAACTGATCAAATATGTGGTCATTATGGGATGTGTAGCGAGAAAACTAAAGACTAATACAAGGCATTTCTTTTGAGAGAGTTATAAATCAACTGTCTGGTTTCTAAACCTTTCACTTAGAAGCTAAAATCTACATTTCCACTCACATTTATCATGATAGGTATCGATCGATGTCAACTGATATACAGCAGGAAAAATAAGTATTGAACATGTCACCATTTTTCACAGAAAACATTTCTAACGGTGCTGTTTTTGAAGGAGAAATTTTCCCCAGATGATGTTAACAGCCAAGGAAATCCATATATGCAAGGAAAACAAATCGAAGATTACAAATTAAGTAATACATGATAAAATTAAATGACGTAGGGAAAAAGTATTGAACACATGAAGAAAAATTGGTTCAGAAAGGCAATGAAAGCCCAGACAGCAACTACTGAAATCTCTCAGTAGTTATTTAGCAACCCTTCAGCTAAAAAAATCTATTTGTAAGCTGAGCTGTGCTGTGCTGTGCTGTGTTGTATCGAAACACACACATTAGATTGAAACATGTACATGTCTTTTACATCTTATGCATTGCACTGAGCTCTGAGCAAAAGTGATGTAGAATGTAAAAAAAAATAAGTGGAAAATGTCTGAACGCACATGTTCACTAAAGACAATGTTAATATAGTGGAAACGGAAATGTGTCTTGAATGACCACTTGTGATTATATCACGCAAAATCGCATGTTATTACCAGGTGGAATTAGGGCTTCGGTGTTTTTCTAGAGCTTCATTGCTAGTAATATATGATCTTTTATTGCAGGACCAGAGGAATGACACATGCGACTCATGCAGAGAGACGAGGCTTTCACCGCCAGTGTTGTTCCTCTTATGCCTGACGACAACATTCAATAGGACCTTTTAACATTAGTTTACTGCGAATAATGCTTATGTCATTAAAGTGCAATAATTAATTAGGTTTACTGTATGTAATGTGTCTTTGAACAGTACCTATTATATTCTGCGTTGTAATCAAATTAAATATTGTGAATTAAAATGCAAATAATGTGGATGTAAAAAAGAAAAATAAAACAGACAAAACTAATAATTTAATAAGAAACCAGATCTTTTATGGTCAGACTTGTTAACATTCGGTGTGTTTAATTTTTGCCTTTGGTGTATCTGAATAATTGTACTCAAGACTATACAACAATCTAATATTTAAGCAGTTTATACAATTGCGCATTAATAAAACAACAAAACAACATTCAAATAAACACAAACTTGCAACATTTAGCATCAACAATCCAAATGTATATAAAATCTCCATAAAGCCCAATGCTGTTGGAAAAGCAAACGAATTATACATTCTTAAACTTCCCTAAATTTCTTCAAATAATAATTTAAAATAATATATTAGTGTGTTTATAGATTTTTTGTGTTAACATTGTTTCAGTATTCAATAATGAAATTATAAAGCTCCAGAAACAGGTTTTTGAACCACGTGCACACTTGGCCTAATGGATTTATGTTTGACATGTTCTGAGTGCAAGCAATTTCATTAAAACAGTGACATATATTTCTATCTATTTATACATGGGAAGCTACTGTACATGGTGCTCAGATTAAAGGTGTTAAAGAAAAAATTAAAGGCTTCAAGAGACAATGCAAAACCATGTATTTCAGAGTTCTCGCATACAGCAATTTTTGCCATTTGAAAACTAAGGAAAATGTGAGGCATGATTAAAAGGCCAGAAAAACTAAATCAAAACATGTTTATTTGAAACTTTGTAGATTATGTTTGGGTTACTAATGAAATCTAAAGACTTGAACATTTTTAAATAAACCAGTTCCTGTCCAAACCAAATCCTCACATTTTACCCAGTTTTCTGCATAATATTAGCATGCGTGAAAGCGAATATGAAACTATGAGCCCCTACGAGTGCTGCAGGGATGATTTTTGTAGACCAACATGAATGGTAATTTAGCATTCATTCTGTTTTTTTTTTTTTTTTTTTTTTGGCTTTTAGAGTTTTTCAGAAAGCAAGCCCTATCGCTACCACAACTTTATAATATTATAATATAAGTCTTCTCAAATTAACACAACTTTGATGATTTCTGAAACATAAATTTAGCAGGCGGAGGTAAAAAGATGAGCATAGGCTGTAAACATTCCTTTGACTTCAACATCAACAGCAATTTGGCCCTTACATTCTTACAGCAATGCTTTTTTTCAGTCTTTTTAGGCTTTAGAAGAATATGTAAATATGTGCTGCACATTTTCCACTCAATAAATACAAAACATACAAATAAAATTATATCAGTGAGAAAACAGCAGTTAAGAATGATCATAGCCATTTGGAAGTTTAAAGATTTATCTATTGCACTTTATACCTTAGAGGTGTATACACATTTAATTTGATCCGATATGTACAGTATGTAATATTGGAGTTTTAAAAAGTTTTGTTGGTTTTCGCCAGTGTTGGTTTGTTCTCATCTGTTCTCTGATTGTACAGAAACCAAAACAAAAACAACTTAAAAAAAAACGTTTTGGCCTGATTTTGTTCTAAATGACTTTACACAGATTTCTGCCTTTCTGTAGCTTAATCCATAGATCATGGTGTGAGGGTTATTGGCTCAATTCCCAGGGAAAGTGAGCAACCAATGAAAAAAACCTTCACTTTCAGACCAAATGTAAGTGACACTGGATAAAAGTGTGTAAAGTTTGTAACTTCGTTCCTTACTTTAACTTTAGGTTATTAGTGTGTTAAAGATTCTGGTAAGTATTTCAGTATTTTTCTATTGAAAGTCTCAGTTTAAACTGCACAAAAGTACAATAACAAAGTGGACTAGTACAGTACCTCTTAGCATTTTGATGTTTGATGTCCTCCACAGCCCCTGTTGGCACTTGTTAAAAGCCGCCTTGCTAAAGTACAAGCTTAAAAAAAATCACAAGCAAAATCACAGGTGTCAAACTCAGTTCCTGGAGAGCCATAGCTCTACACCAGGGGTCACCAATCTCGGTCCTGGAGGGCCAGTGTCCCTGCAGGGTTTAGCTCCAACTTGCCTCAACACATCTGCCTGAATGTTTTAAGTATACCTAGTAAGACCTTGATTAGCTTGTTCAGGTGTGTTTGATTAGGGTTGGAGCTAAAATCTGCAGGACACCGGCCCTCCAGGAACAAGTTTGGTGACCACTGCTCTACACTGTGTACTTCCAACCCTATTTAAACACACCTAATCAAACTAATTGAGTGCTTTAGGCTGGTTTGATATCTCAAATAGTGGTCAGGCTTTATGAAACACTGAAACAGTTAAAGCAAATGTGTCGAAGCTTCAAAACATTTCGGAACCCGTCTCTGCAGGGAAACCTAGTGGCCATGTTTATGTATTGCTCTGAAACAGCTTCAGCAAAGAAACAGTTTAGCAAATTGAGGTATTAAACCTTACATTGTAGAGTTAAGGTTTCAAAAGGGTTAGTGAAGCGGTGAGAGTTCCTCACTAACATGCAGAGATAATGGGTTGGAATCCAGGGGGATGAACACTTTGTGAATAAATGTGTCTTGTTTCATAAAAAGTAACATAAATAAAATTCATTAAGTCATAATTTCAGTCTGGAATTAAACTCATGACATTTGAAGTACAGTTACTCTTTGCACATGCACAGTCCACTAGGCTACATGAGATGCTTCTGAAATGACTGATGATTTTAATCGCTTTAGTCACATGACCTGGTGTTTTAAATCACCTTTGTCGCATGACCTGGGAGTTTTGATCATGCCTCTCGGGATCCTGACACGGAGTCAAAATGTCAGTTTCACATCAGCCATCTCTAACATTAGGTAGTTGTGTTGAAGCAGGGCTGGAACTAAACTCTGAAGGGTTGCGGGCCTCCAGGAGCTGAGTTTGACACCCTTATATTGAGCTTGTGTTAATTACACACCTTATTTCAGTCTTCTGGTTTTGGTCAAAAAAAAAGCATAATCCATGTAGCCCTCTATTTTACAGCATGTCGACGTAGGGTACAGTTTGTGCAGTGGTTCACCTTTTCCACTATCAACAATGTGTGAGGTAAAGTTTCCGTCACATATCTTTTTTAAAAATCAACACAAACTTTGAAACTGGTGAAGTGACGCGTTTAATGTTGCACTTCTCAGTTCATACGTGAGGTGTTTGTTCATAGAGCTGCAGATCAAGCCTCACTTTAACCTCTCCAGTCGGGACTTCATGAAGCAGCAGACGTCGAACCAGTGGCCCTTTACCATCTTGATCTTTTTTTATTGTCGCTACAGGAACTTCAGTTCGACCTAGAAAATCTGTTTGGAAAGCACATTTGGTTAAACATAGGCATTTTGTGTATTTATGTTTGTTTTGTGTGTTTGTTGGGTCAAGTCCCACCATCAGGAGAGAACTGGTCCCTCTCAAAGACAGTGAGGCACAGGACATCCTGGTACAGGTCTTTGATGAAGAACTGGCAGTTGAAGCTCCATTTTGGGTTGAGCGTGTCGGGCTGATGCCGGGACGTGTAGCACTGGGCGCCCATGGTTAGTTCACAGAATGGGTTACTCTTCCCTAAAAACACACAATTTATCACACAGTGGAAAAAATAATAATAATATATAATAATAATATATATATATAATAATATATATATATATATATATATATATTATATATATATATATATATATTATATATATATACATACACACTACTCTGTATTTGTGTGTTGTACTCTGCTATTAATTCTTAAACATCCTTAAAGTTAGCATTATTTACTAGAGGATCAAAACTGTGGTGTTCCTTTGTACTGATGCTAATAAAATTAAGGTCATGGGTTTATTTCCCAAGAAACAAATCACATTTACATCTTAATTGCAGTTAAGTCACGTTGGATACATCTATATAAAAAGTATAATAGTATAGTACAAGAATTGTTAAATACTAGAAGTATTTTCTTAGTAACATCTTAAAATTTATTCTAAAATAATAAAACTCATTTTAATAAGGCTTACTTTCAAAGAAATTAGGAGAGAGTTGCTTGTAATCAAATATTTAACTTTATATAGAACTTATAGAAAATGTATAAATAATGAGGAATAAATTTGCTTAAAATCATTAAAGAAAAATATTTTTAGAAATGAAAAAAGATAACATTCAAAATTCTTTTTAATTAAAATGTGTATTTTATTAATTACATATTGTTCATGTAAATAATAGAATTGCAATATTACTGTATTAATATTGACAAGTAAATTTGGTGAGAAAAGTTGTTAATGAATAAAAATATCGAGTTCATTATAAATGTCCTTCAACTCAAACAAACCAAAATTCCCAAACTAATTAAAATAAATAATTAAAACTAAAATAATTATATAATAAAACAAAATAATTACAATTACAGTTATATAATAGTTAGTTATAAACTCATGAAAGACTGTATATTCTACAAACATGCCACTAGAGGCTAGGATGATAGGAAACAACTAGGCCTGTCACAATATTTATTTTTTGTTGTAAAATACCAAAATATATTGCGACAAACAATATTGTTGCCATTTTAAGACCATTTTACGCCACTCATTATATAATGCCAGAATGACAATATAATATCATAAAAATGCAAGTACACTCTTCCAAAGAACACATAATATTTTATTCTTAGGAATATTTCATTTAATTCTAGTCATTTTAACAATATAATAAGTAACCATTGGAGACAGAATGTGAAAATGAATATCCTAAAAAAATAAATAATAATAAATGTTATTAAAAAAGTCCAAGGTAAAAAATTAACCGAGGCTGCGATATCTGCCACCAAATGTATTTTCTGTTGTCAGACACCTACATGGAAATATATTATAGCAATGTATAGTAAATACTATAGTGTTTTTTAACCATACTGACACTGACAAAACAATAGAGATTGGGCAATCAGCTAAAATGTTGCTAGAACTGGTTTTTATACAAGTCTATATATTGATTACTTTGACAGGTCTAGAAATAACACTGCTGTGATGAGAAATTCATAAAAATATCATGAAAACTACACAAACTGAAACTTCAAAAGTAGTCCAATATTACTTTGAAGATTTAAAAGCTAATAAAGTGTAAAAATGAGTATTTGTTCAGACCGTTGGGTTTGCAGGGCTTCAGCTCTGTGGCTTCCAGCACTGTTACCAGCAGTCGACCGATGCCACTGTTCTTCTGAGAGCGAGCTGAACAACACACACAGACATTCATCAGTAAAGCTTCATTCAGTCACAATTACTTTGACTCTTAATAATCACCACTGAAGCCCAACCTTGATACGCCTTCTCTCTCTTCAGCTTCTCCGTCTCTATGAAGTGATCAGATGCTGCTTTGATCTTCTGCACCCACGTCGTCCTGATTTCATATGACAGTTATCGATAACGTTAGTAACTGCATTCCCATACTACAAAATGCTCAGTGTAATAAGATTGGGTATTGTTTAGAGTCAGAATGAAAGTTTTTATAGATATTTGAACCAGAAACCAACTCTCCAAAATAATTTTTAATAAATAAAATAAATAATAATCAGATGTATCCACTTGCTCAGGTTGTAGGTTAATGAAATAATGTTGTAAATAATGTTCTGTTTTGTGCACAGACCAGTCATTTTACAGGTATTCATATGTTTTGGACTTTAAAAGTGATGGTAAACCTTGAGTTGAATTGTATCAATCTATGTTTAACAGAAGAAAAATCTCACCTGTATCTTGAATGAAGTACATTAATAGCATATTTTCATTTTTGGGGTAACTATCCCATTTAACAGAAAGTATTGAAGTAATACTTTTGAATTTAGATTTGACAGGGACATGCAGAACAATACATTGAACACAAAAGGAAATATATTTATGCTATAGGTGCTTTAGCAATGCTGGCTATTTTATAACTTCAGATCTTAAAACAAAAAACTTGATTGCAAAAATTGTTCACCTAAAAATGAAAGTCATTTGTGTTTTTCATGCAAATCAAAAAAATCCTGCAAGTAATTTAAAAGCATGCGTTGCGCGTTCGCTTCATGTTTGGTGTGTGAACATGTACCTCTCATTGATAGTGTCAGTCTTGAGTGTGTAAACACGATCAATGTGTGAAATGTGGAAAACTGGGTCATCGCTGGACGGGTCAGAGGGCATTTTCACCAAGACCTCATTCAGAAACACTGGCTAATAACAAGAGAATAAGAGAGAGAAAGTGTGAGATGGACGTTCAGCAAATATTACTAGTAGTTTAACTCTGGAATACGCAAACTCTGTCCTGGAGCTTTGGTGTTCTGCAGAGTTCCAATACTAATCAAACACCTAAACATGCTAATCAGTATCCTTAAGATCACTAGAAAGCTATAGGCAGGTGTGTTTGATTTAGTGAAACATTGAAACAGTTCTGTTCTGCTTCTGTGGAAGCCTAGAAACATCTTAAAACCTGTCTCTAATAATAATAATTCCTTACATTTATATAGCGCTTTTCTGGGCACTCAAAGCACTTTACACATAGAGGGGAATCTCCTCATCCACCACCAGTGTGCAGCATCAACCTGGATGATGCGACGGCAGCCATTTCATGCCAGACTGCACACCACACACCAGCTGATTGGTGGAGAGGAGACAAGAGTGATGATGCCAATTATGATATGGCGATGGTTAGGAGGCCATGATGGACAGAGACCAGTGGGCAAATTTGGCCAGGATGCCGGGGTGAAACCCCTACTCTTTTTCGTAGGACATCCCAGGATTTTTAATGACCACAGAGAGTCAGGACCTCAGTTTAACGTCTCATCTGAAAGATGGTGCTCAGTGAGCAGTATAGAGTGCCCGCCACTACACTGGGGCATAAGGACCCACACAGACCGCAGGTGATGATTAGTGGTCGTTTTTAGGTATTGTTCTAAAGACAAGTTCAACAAAGAAACAGTTGCTAATTGATGAATTACACCGCATGTTGTATAGTCAAAATGTAAAGTGACTTAGTGGAGCAGTTAATGGCATGCAGACATACTGGGTTCCAATCCAAGATGAAGCAACCTTGGCCATTTAAATGTGTTTTCTTGATGAAATTAATTTTATTTTTAACATTGGTCTGACATCCGAATGAAATATGTGTTGATTTGGTCATTAAAAATTAAGATTAACAAAAGACATTGAATCACACTTTCTGAATGTTTGTACAAATCGGGATTCAAACTCTTGTCACATGCAGCACAGTGGCAGTATGACTTGTGGAGCAAGTTCCACTAGGCTACGTGTGATTTCCAGCCCTGTCAAGCAAACAGAGATTCTCCAGATCTTGAAATGCTTGTGAAATCTTCAGTTGAATTGCTTTAGTTTTGGGGCAGTATTTTGAAACATCTGCATCTGTTTGAGATCTTGACACAGTGTCGAAAGATCAGTTTTGTATCAGACATTCCCAGTTTGATTAGGGTTTGTTGGCCCTCCAGGACCGAGTTTGCCCCTGATTTAACTCAAAATAATCAGCTACAAATTTAATCTCATAAGCAGTGTTGTTGCCATACCGTCTTGTACATCTTGTACTGCGTGTTGGAGTTGGGATTGAAGAGTTTGTCTGGGCTGGATGAGAACTGTTTGGAGGTGTATGTGAGGAGCAGGAAGTCATTGAACAGCAGGGCCCAGAGCTCTTTGCTGCTCTTGGTCTTGTGCAGTTTGCCACTGTGCAGCAGTTTTCGAGGGCCCAGGCAGTTCGTCAGAGAGTTAAAAACAAGGTGCTGAAATGACAATATGACATGTTTATAAATAATATGCAATAAAAGCTGTTGTTTTACACTGTGAGGTCATGGTGGAGCTTTACAACAGTGTTTCACCTCAATGACTCCGTCACACAGCACGTGGTTCTGGATCCACTCCAGTCGGTCGGAGTTCTCTTTCTCCCTCACGGCCTCGTTCACCTGTGAGCAAAGCTCCTCCGCCTGCTCCAGCGCCGCCTGCAGATTGGAGTGGTCAGCGTGAGCCGGAGGGGTGTTTTCCAGAATCTACACCAACACATTTCAAAGACAAAACACACAATTAGTTATTCACTTAAATTAAATGAATGCTTTATTTACAAAACAAAAATTGCCTTTCATAAAATAATACTCCTATTTGTTATACTAATACTATTACTGTATTATTAATATTATTACTAGTTACTTATTTTTACTATTAGTATTATTATATTACTAGTAGAAGTAGTAATAGTAATAATGATGATGCAAATTCACCATATGACTGTTGAACTGTGTATGTTATTCTTATTCTGTATACATTATGTGAACATATTGTTCAGTAAAGTTCTCACATATTATTACTATTTCCATATACTTGAGAAGCAAAATGACATAAAAATCTGAATAAAATGTGTAATTAAAATTAAATAAGTTCAGGCTCAAAACAACCAAAAATCTACACCACTGGTATAAGAAAATTGTTTTTAAAAATATTTAAATTCTGCAATTTTTGTTGTTGTTGTTGCATTTATGTTTATGTAATCTGTGTAACCCTGGACTATAATACCGGCATAATTTTGGCAACAACCAAAATTTGGTTTAAAATTATTGATTTTTCATTTGTCAGAAATAATTAGACTATTATTATTAGACTATAATTAAACTTATTTTGCAAATATCTACTGCACATTCATTAATACTCTCTTTTGATAAGTAATGTGCATTGCTAGCAATTCATTTAAACAACTTTAAATGTGATTTTCTCATTGTTTAGATTTTTTTGAAACCTCAAATTCAAGATTTTTAACAATCGGCCAAATATTGTCCTATGTGATGGAAAGCTTATTTATTCAAGTTTAAAAAATGACATTTATGTCTGGCTTTGTGGTCGAAGGTCACACTTTTTACTTTAACTCTATTGTAAAGCAACATTCAATGTTTCAAAATATAGTAGTTTCAAAACTTTGATTTTCAATCTTTTATGAGTTGTGTGTACGTTTTTGATCAGCAGTGGGTATCGTGTGATCCTCTGCATGGGCTTCAGGAGAAAGCTGGACAGTGGCATTCCTTTACAGCGGTAATTACTGGCAATTTTCTACAGAGATGAGAAGCAGAAAAAGACAGAAGAGTCCTGTTAATGTCATATCGCCATCTTGTGGACAACTACGGAAAACAATGCAACACAGTCACAAAAACAAGAGGTTGGACTTCAGGAAACTCGTCCTAACAACCTTCAAATTAAACCCAAAATTGTTATTAACCAGACCATTACTAACACTACACATCTGTCTGGAATCAGTAGAATGTGTGTCAGTGTGTTGACCTTGAGGAAGAGTTTGAAGTCGAGAGATTTGTCTGTTTTCTGCTGCAGCAGAGCGGCTGCGTTGAGCTGGCAGCTGCAGAAGCGAATGTAGGCCTGCATGTGAGAGAGCTCTGAGGACAAGATATCACCAACCACCTGCACAGGCATTCGCTCACCTGCTGTCTTCTTACGCACACGCAGAGCTCTGTAAATATGCACACACACATACAATTCCACATATCACGCCTGCTCAGACATTCGTACATTCTGTATAATGAACACATTTGCTGTTGTTTACCAACAAATTAAAATAAGCTTGAACTATAAAATGCTATATCAGTGAGTCACTTTTGGAAACCATTTAAATTAGTCAAAGAGGTTTTAAAATGTAGTGACAAATGTAAATTAATTTAACTGCCTACGTAGATACTGCTTATGTAATTATTGTTAATCTACGCAAGTTATTCGTTTATCTCTGTTAGTATTCATGTAATATGTATTACATTTTAATTGAACTCTTTAATCATTATTTTCACATGAAATACTCAAAGTTAGTAAAAGTGAATGCTTAAATGCAATACAATATTTACTTCTGCATTTATTTCTCCTACTTGAGTTCATTCAGTTACTTTATGCTATCTTGAATTATTTTGCTCATATATTTTATTTATCAATATATTTACTTCATTTTCATTTGAATAAGATGCATGATTTTCCAGAAGTCTTTAACTTGTTTAACAAGTTCCCAAACTATGAGCCAGCATACAGCAGCTGCAGATTCTGAGCTGGACTCTAGGGGTCAGTGTGGACTCACTTTAGGAGTTTGGTGCTGCACATGATCAATTCACGCCAGTTCACAAAGATCATGCTCATCTCAGCATCGGTCAGCCGTCCCGACTCTGCCATTGGCTTATAAAACACCTGAATTTACACACACGCAGCAAATAAACACATTTATTTAAAGTCAAACAAAGCAGTCATGAGGTAAATATAGAAAATGAAAATGCCATGTTGTGCTGCTAAGGTTCCTCACTTAATATTTTCGAGATCTTTTACACTACGTTAAATCAATCCAAAGTACAAAAAGCATGAGGCATTTTTCTCACAGTGTCTAGAACAGTTTGAAGATCGAGTCTGAAAGTCTGCTGTGCACTAACTGTTCTGATGGATTAGTCTGTGTTGTTAAAATAGATAACTGTAATAAACCTATAACATATTTGGACTTTAGCTGCAGATACTGTAACACTTATTACTGTATACATATTATAAACAGTAAGAATGGCATTGTTTTATCAAATCAATTCTAGCCTCAGTATTTCAATTGTGTACAAAGTGGATTTGCTTTTGTAGCACAGAAAACAGCATCTTCTAAACATGTCGACAAACCAAACTAAACTCAATATGTCCTTAGAAAAATGACAGTGTTTGAGGGTAGAAGTTGTTCACAGGCAGCCAATAAGGACGATGGCTTAGCATTATGCTAATCCATTAACCTACACTTGAAGTACTGTCGTTCTACAACAGTTCAGAATCTGTATTTTTTGGAAAGTAGTGACACATTGATCTTTGAATCTTGGCAGACACTTTTCATTCAGAAACAGCTATATTATGCACTAAATGTAAGTTAATATCCAAAAAAGCATAATGGGGCACTTTCAATTGTCTGTTGGCTCACCTCCACTGCCAGCTCCAGGTCCTCCAGGTAAGACTCTTCTGTCTGAATGAGCTCATGGATGTAGCCTTGCCTCTTCCTCTCCTCAGTGCACATAGAGTCTAAACTAAGCAGGTCAGCACACCCTACTCACACAAAGAAAAACACGCAAACACCCACACACATACAGGAACGAGCAATCATCAGCAAACCAGATCACTACAGGATCTCACAGCTGAAAACTTTATTCCAGAAAATTCTGTTTCATGTAATTGTGAATTCACCCCACAGAAAAAAATGCACCAGAGCACAGACATTTAGAGCGACGTCTCTAAGATCTTTAAGATCACAACTGTGAGCTGCATAGCTGGTCAAACATGAGGGCAACATGTGTTACTGGTCTTCAGTTCTGTTGACTAGAACAAAGAGGCAGACTAACATTCTCGTGATCTACAACATACGATTGTGCTGATGTAACGAACAGTAATGACGAAAAGGGTAATTCAAGAGTAGCCATGTCAAATGTTTATTTTTTAAAACTTTTTTTATTTTGTGGTCCATCTAAAATGTTAGCATGTTCATAAAGTGTGCGTGTATGTGTACTGGTTTTGGTGGGTTACAAGGGCAAGTTTTTGTATGATGGCATGGTTATGACTAAAGTTGTTCTCTATTATGGTGGTTTACAGGGACATGTCTGATGTCCTTATAATTCAAAATGCTTAAAATCATACTTAATGGTGTCATTTGACATTCTAAATTTTACACAGGTTTCCAGTGGGGGTTGGGTTTAGGGTACGGTTAGGGTCATATAATTAGATGCATTACAGTATAAAATATATTACACCCAGTGCTTAATTTAAGCTTCTTGCCGGATCCTGTTCCAGGAGAAGTCTGATATTCATGTTCTGAGTTCCGGTATTTATTTTAACTTGTGCATGGTTAATACCTACGTGTGTGTGTGTGTCTGTGTGTGTGTGCGTAAGAGAGAGAGAGAGAATGTGAAGGAGTGCAAGCCAAGGTTGTGTGGATTGTGTGCATACACACATAACGGTAGTCACCATGTGCATGTTAAAGCAGAAGGCACGTATAGCTATAGACCCTCAACAATATTTTCAGCCAATCGGCTTACTTATGTTTATAATTACTCTTATTGGTTGGTAATTGTTTCGCAAGCAGTGAGCAGTGAAATTAACTAATGGCATAGTGGCCAACCTAAATAATATTTGTATTTTCAAAATGGAAAAGAGGCAGTCAAGCATACTTTCATTTTTTAAAACCACAAGTAAATCTGATGAGCCTGATCTAAAGATCTTGAGAAGATGAAACTGCGCAATTGGATCAGGATAGCGTGAGACAGAAGCAAAGCGATCTCAAGACTAAGTGAGTCATTTAATTGTTTTTTTTTTTTTTCACTTTGCACATAATAGTGAAATTATTCAAACAATTTATGTTTGTAGCTACATAACTGACCTATAACGTTATATGGCACAAAATAATCAAAGACCGTTCCAGGAATTATTCATTTACAAATTAAGAACTGATTACGCCTATGGAGAATCCTTGTAAACTATCAATACCAATATGTGTGTGTGTGTGTGTGTGTGTGTGTGTGTGTGTGTGTGTGTGTATGTATGAGATACTGGTAATATTGATCTTCATTCTCCTTACCACTTTGATAATGGGCAGATCGAGTTACTGAACACACAATAGACAATTGCGAAAGGTACTAGGTTCTTTTTTATTACATCAGAAATCCAAGGAGCCATTTTGGCAGCTTAGTTCCTGCAAATATCTATTTATACTTTAAAATAGAAAAATACTTTACATAGTATGGAGAAGTATTATTTTTAAAAGATGTTTAAGGAAAATTCAGTATCTCATGAGATTTCCCTTTATTTTACCCATTTAAAAAAATGAGAGAAAAAAGCAGTGGCGTCTAAAATGTCCCAACTTAACAGAAAACAATATATATGTCTGAAAGCCAGTGGAAACAAACAGATGTGTTTGTTTTCATTTTTAGCATAGTTTAAACAGAAAAAGCTGAAGGGGAGGGGATAAATCCAAAGAAATCTAGTCAAGGCTGAGTCTTGAGGCTGCATCGTGGACCAGAGCTGTGTTCTGATTGGCCAAGAAAAGAGAGGAAGAGGAAGCATTGGCCAGAGCTATCATCCTACAATAAAGCACAAATGAGGCGAATGACAAGAAAAAAGAAAGGAGGACAGAAGATGAGGGCAGAGGGGAGAATGAATAATGAAGAAATGGATAGAGAGTACATATTAGAAAACGATAGATAGATAGATAGATAGATAGATAGATAGATAGATAGATAGATAGATAGATAGATAGATAGATAGATAGATAGATAGATAGATAGATAGATAGATAGATAGATAGATAGATAGATAGATAGATAGATAGATAGATAGATAGATAGATAGATAGATAGATAGATAGATAGATAGATAGAAGATAGACTATAGCCAAATATATCTCTCTCAACATCTCACCCACTAAATATGAGTCAAAATTGTGAGATATACAGTCAAGAATTGCAAGAAAGCCCAAGAACTCACAATAAAATCACAATTCTGAGAAAAATAGTCACATGAGTGGATGTAAATTCAAAAAACTGAGGAAAAAACTGAATTTTCAGACATAAACAGATATAAAAATGTAATATTTTTGTTTTGCACAACTATGTGTTTACTGTATGTCTCTGAATTTTAAGTTTATATCTCACAATGTCCATTTTTATCTCACTAAACTGTGAGTGAAAAATGTTTACAGTATGAGAGAAGCAGGCTTCCATGCCAACACTCTTTTATTTCAGTTTTGATTAACCTATTCCAATCCTCATAATCTGCCTACTGTACAAACAAACACTTCTGAACTCGAACTGAAACTAATAAAGCAGCTCTAATAGTACTCACATTGCTGGCTTGGATCACATTCTGTGGTCATCTTCACATAATTAGTTGGAAACAGCCCTGTGACCCCTGCGACCTCTCCTTTCCACCAGTCAGGGTTGTCCTTGTTCAGTACGGTGATCAGCTGACCTTTCTGGAAGCTCATCTCGTCCTTATTGGCTGCTTTGTAGTCATACATTGCAATAACCTGACACACTACAGGGGGAAGAGGAGAAAAACAGAGAGAAGAATGGATGGATGGAGTAGAATGGGACAGAGAAGGCAAAACAACAGTGACACCACTGCACACAAAAGCATGAATGAAAAAGTGTGCTGTGAGTGTGTTTGTGTGTCTTACATGGTTGAGGTGCAGGTGTTATTTTGCCGCTGTTGGCCTCCAGTAATCGGACATTAGAAGATTGAAACCAGCCCTTTTTACGCTTCTTACCCCGTGCCTACAAGCACAGACATTATTTTTAAAACTCTAGTGACTTATATTGTTATTATTCTTACGATAATATTTTTTACTCACTAAACATACAGTTGAAGTCAGAATTATAATCCCTCCTTAATTATTATCCCCCCGGTATATTGCTATCCACAATGTCTGTTTAACAGAACAGAATAATTTAATGGTTAATTTCTAAAAATAATAATTTTAATAACTAATTTCTAATCACTGATTTCTTTGCCATGATGACAGTAGATAATATTTCACAGGATATTTATCAAGATATTAGTATTCAGTTTAAAGAGCAATTTAAAGGTTTAACTGGGTTAATTAGTCAAGTTAGGGTAATTAGGTAAATCATTATATAAGGATGATTTGTTCTGTAGACAATGGAAAAAATATTGCTTAAGAGGGCTAAAAATATTGACCCTAAAATGTTTTTTTTTTTATTATTATTAAAAACTACTTATATTTTTATTTTTCAATTATAATTAAAACAAAAAGACTTTCTCCACAAGACAATTTTTTATAGGAAATACTTCCTTGCTCTGTTAAATCTCATTTGTGAAATATTTGAAAAAGAAAAAAGAAAAGAAAAATCACAGTAAGGCTAATAATTTTGACTTCAACTGTACCTGTTACTTAATACTCACACAAATATACTTAAGTTATAATTTAACCAGTTTAGTAAAGGCACACTATGTAATTCTCCACTAGATGGCATATATTCACAACAATTAAATGCACCAAGTATAAAACACTGTATTTAAGTGTACAACAACACTTTAATGCACAATAGACATACGGTTAGGTAAAGTGATGTGCTGACCTGTAGTTCACCAAGCCACCAGCTGTTTGAGTTCTTATGCAGCACCACGATCAGCTGGCCAGGTGTCAGACTCAGCTGCTCTGGTGTTGTTGCAGGACTGACTGTAGTCACCTGAGCAATTTCTGAAGACCAATAAAAAGCACACATTAATCATGTTTACAAATGTCAAAGAGCTCGCTGTGATCTTTATTTTGCTGTGATTGTAACAATGCTCTTAAATCTCACCTGGCTTTTTACTGGGAACTGCAGAACTGGCAGTCTAAAACAATAATAATGCAGTGAGCATTAAAGCATTACATGCCATCATAAATGTCTACTGTATTAATGCTTAACATAGCAACTTATTTCGAAACAATTTTAAACGATTAATTGCAATTAAAAAGTTAGTATTTACATATTATATGTGTACTGTGTACAATTATTATGTATATATAAACACAAACATACATAAAGCAAAAAAGTATACAAAGCAATAATTTCTCAAATATATATACTTGCAGATACAGTATATATATATATATAAAACGGCTTTTACCCCTCAGTTTCTTTTAAAATGTAAAATTAAAATTAGAGAAATATCATGCGATACAGGTTTTTCTTTAATCTTTAAAAATGTAAAATATAAAAAATAAATAAATCATATTTTACAGTCTAAAACGATCATTTGCAGGAACTAAGCTGCCAAATTGGAAAACCCAGTACCATCATTTATTAAAGTATTAAACCCGTAAATTAATTAATAAATAAGATTCAAACGATAACTAAAATTGCATAATAGTTTCAATGATTTGAATGTTCATACATCAGGTTCTTTGGGTTTAACATAGTTGGAGGGGAAAAGGCCGGTCTGGTCACCAATACAGCCTCTCCACCACTCTCCTTCTTTCTCTGTAACCAGAACCACATCCTCTGCACTGAACGTCAGGTCTCCTGACTCCGGACTCTCATACGTGTACAGAGCCACATACTCTAACAGGATTAAACAAACACAAACCAATAAAATCCAATCTAATGTCATAATATCTCATCTGCATGACTAGAAATGGTCCTATAATAATGTAAATCGAGTCCTCACCATCAAGCAAACCAGAGTCTGACACTTCAATCTCCTCCACGCTAGAATACAGAGGCCTAAAAGAGACACCAAAACACTTAAAAGATTTCCAGCAGGCATGTCAAAACTACATCATATTGACATTAAGCATGATGCAAAAAACATGTCAAGAATGCAAATCAATTTGGCGTTAAAACTTTAACATCCACTTAACATCCAATTATTGATGCCCTATTTTCATATATTTAATAAAAGAAAAGTTGTATTTATGTAAAGGATTTAATTCTGAGTTACAAATTTACACTGGATTTTATGTCCCTATAATGCAAGTAAACTACCTTGACGTCAAAACAGACATCTAACAACATCAAACAGACATCTAACAAAAAACATGTGAGAAAACGATTTCAGAACTCTTCTGTTAGCGTTTATGACGTGTTTTTGACAACATTATTAAATATTAATTTTATGTTGTTTTTACGTCATCAACATAGTCAACTGACATTAAATAGACATTCATTTTTGAGGTGTTTTTTATGTGGTTTTGAATTCAAGGCACCCACTGTGTTAGTCTCCAGCTATATTACTACAAAGATATATTTATTGCCTACAAAAAAATATATATATATTCTTACTCGCTCTGTGTATTATTGGTGGTGACCACAGAGACATGTGAACAGGGGAACCAGCCCCGTTTCTCCTTGAGTTCTCCGTACCACCAGTTCTCCTGCTTCTCCAGAACTGTAATAATGTCGTCCTTGCAGAAGCCCAGGTGACTGTCAGTCTTAGCGCTCCACTCACACAGAGCAACAGCCTGCAGCACACAAACACACACATAATCAGAAGAGGATTTTTCCTTTTAACAATCCAAAAAATCCCTGATCATGTGTATTTACACATGCAAACCTGTGAGTGCTGTGTGTTTGTGGATACTGGGGTGTGTGTCGGTGTTGGTCCTTCTATGTCCACTCGAGGAATTCTGTAAATGTTAAGGGGTCATAAGGATTTTATTTATTTGGCATTCATTTACCAACAATAATTGCAATGTTTATTTTTGTAAATAACAACAGAATTATAAAACAAACCTAAATGTAGGGCTGCACAATATAGGAAAAATTTTCTTCGATTAATATTTTGATTTAAATACAGTTTTGCAAGATAGTTTGAATAGCTCTTTTTGACAGTTTCTGAGGAGTCTAACCATATCCAGGTACAGAAATTCAATGATTTTCTTACTTTGCTTTGACTCGTTTCTTCTCGAAAAGAATATCTCAAATTCTTACATCAAGTAAAAATATTTTGTTTTCAACTTCAGAAAAAATAAATCAAAATTAAGAGTTGAAATAATCTTGTTTTTGAATTGAAATGTAGATATCTGGACTAGCAGACAAAAATTACAAGTAAGAAAAATATTTTTTTCCCATATAAATAATTAAATACAATTAATATTTTCTTACACCTTAAAACTTCATCTTTGTTTGTGCCCAAATCTTTTAAACTGTCTTGAAATGCTCAGTCACAAGCTTTAAAAACATGAAAATTATTAACTTTCACTCTATTATGGTTAAACTTAACAGTACAAATTGCATGTGTTCTGTAGCTCCTGGTCAACTTTAAATCAGACTCAACATTGCAAAGCAATGTGACTATCGTACATGTGCAAATTGGGATTTCGATGCTGAAAAGGTATATTGTGCAGCCCTACCTAAATGTGATGTCATTTTTTTCTAATATCGAAATAAATTAAAACAGTTTATTGTTCATTGGTTTCTGACACATAGCCGTTCTGGATTATTTTATAACTTTCACTGGACAAGGACCAGTCAAAGGCCATTTACTGACATATAAAACAACTAATCCCAGGTTGTTTTGTTCAATACCATGGTGAAAATGTAATGTCAATGTCCTTGCGATAACAATGTCCTTTAAAATATTTGACCACAAAGAGCTTGTAACAAGTAATCCCCTTAATCACTGAGGTATTCCCATATGGCTGGAAATATGCTTTTAAATGTTACCTGTTTCCTGCTGACATTAGCCAAAAATATGTTTTGTCAAAAATCATTTGAATATTAAATAAAGATCCTTTACCATGATAGTAAACAATTTGTAAATGTCCAACTGTAAATATATAAAACTACATTTTTGATCAATAATATCTATTGCTAAAACTTAATTTAATGACTTTAAAGACATTTTTTCAATATTTTGATTGTTTGCAAAACTTAACATTTAAGAAAATTGACAACCTCTGACTGTTTTTGTGGTCCAGGGTTGTATATGTTTTTATTTATTTTAAAAAATACCAAAAAAATGGCCAACAATTTTATGCAAATATTTTAATTTATATTTTGGATTATTATTTAAAAGTATTAGTATAAGAGAAAACCCATACCTAAACTTTTTTACTGCTTTTTAGGATAAATATTAGTGATAAGACAACAATTTTTCCTGAACACAGGCCCTGGTTTGCAGACTCTTGAAAGTTTAGAAAGTTTATCCCATAAACTACACTTATGCTATGTTTTTATAAATGTGATATTTTTAAAAAGGTTTTAGTAAAAACACATTGCTGTTTATTGTTATATTTTAAATAAATGTTTATATTATGTTTGCCAATACATTTTTCCCTTTCATTTGTTTGATGTACCATGACTTAAATATCTTTAATCTAATTTTAACATTATTTAACCTTGATATTAATATGAGTCATTTTAAATATACTGGGTTTGCAAAGCCATTGCTTTCTCTGATTACATAAAACACACCACATTTTAAATATTAAAATATTATATACATTTTCAAAGATTGGAGAAGTTTGATTTTGTCATACCCAGGGTAGTTGGCAGAGGGCGCAGTGGACTCAGTTTCAGCTGCGGTCGGTTGAGTCTGACTGTCTTTACTGCATCTCTCAGCATAGCTCTCTGGAAACCAGCCTCTGTTTCCACTGTAACTGCCATACAGCCAGCCGGTCTCTCTGACTGTCGATTCATCCACCTGCATCGATTCACCAACATCAATCACAGCTATATTATGTGTGCATGATAGAGTAACTCTAAATGAGAGCTATTATGCTCCTTTTTGCAAGAAGTCTCTGATGTCCCTATGTGTATATGTGACGTTTCAGCTCAAAATAATAATTTATAACACTTTGAAACAGCTGTTTTTTTGCTTTGATCCTAAATGTGTCATTTTGGTGACTGACGCTTTAAATTAAAATGAGATTGTGCTCCCAGCTCTCATTTCAAAAGAGGGTGGAGCTACAAATGCCTATGTGTCAGCATAGTGGCAGATTAAAAAACAAGACTAACCTCTTATGCTAATTAGAGAGAGATTATCACTAATGGGCGGGGCTTTCACACTCTGATGTTCAATGTTTCTGCACACTGTTTTTATGAAGTGTGATTCTAAAAAAATAAAACTAATGCATTTTTACTAATAGAAGCTAATGAGATTCTCAGACTGTTGCCACACAACTGTGTTTAAACCCCTTATAGATTTTTGCATAATAGGTCCACTTTAAAACCGCATGAGTGCCATATGCACCTGGATGAAACAGTCTGCCTCCAGCGTGAGCTCGTCTGAGTTGCGTGCAGTGAAGGGATAGAGAGCTCTGTAGGTGGTCAGAGAACTACACGTGACTTCAGGGATCACTACTGGCTGCAAAACTGAAAAAACACACATAAAAAACAACAAAAACATGTAATGACAATCACACAGCCAATCAGCAAAGTAACTGCATGTGTTAGGAATGGAAGATAACTTTTTTACTTGATATAATACCAAAAGTGTAAATGTGTGTGTTTATTTGTTAGTTTTTTCCTAAATAATGCCCAATTTTAGACCCTTTTTGTCACTTATGTAACAACTCTACTCAAGGTAGTTATATACATATGTTCTGGGAATGTCCCCAAATTGCATTATTCTGGACCAAGATACAATCAGAACTAATGGAAACTCAGATCCAATGTGACCCATTGCTTTTTCTCATGCTGGACAATTCATCACTCTCCTTATACATCAACCAAAGAAAGATTCTGTCAGTTGTTCTGACTGCTGCTGCTGCAAAAAAAAATTATAAAATCTTGAAACTATGGCTGAATCCATCTGATCTATTCTGGAAGACATTATTAGTTTAGAATATACCACAGCCAAAATAAATGGTGCCAAAAAACACTGCAATTTTGGTTAAATATATGAGAGAGACTGTATCAGATATGTTTCAATCCTGATTTTGTACTTATTATTACAATATTACTGTTTTTATTTTACTTTACACTTTTTGTTGGGTGGATCGCGGGCTTTGTTCAAAATCAAAATGTTCAATAAAAAAAATAATTTAAAAAAATTATTATAAACCAAATCACATCTACATGACACATACTGATTATTAAAATCCATGTGAACTGGAAGTTGCTAAGTCTTTTATTTTAGCATGTTAATGTACTTCCAACTGAAACTAAATATTGAGTAGGAAGCGGGGCTTTCTTTTTGTGCATCGTTTACTCATAGCAAACTAATGGTAAGAGGGGTGTGGCTAAAAATGTTGCTGTTGAAGCTGTTAAACTGACGTCAACAGAAGGACCAAAACAAACCTAACAAACATGGATTAACTTGAGATTAGCATGAGTTAATTGATCACCCAAACCATAACAACGTGGGCTAACAAATTAAACAGTGTAAGTTTCGATTTCACATGGACATAAAAAAAAAGCAAATCTCTTTAGATAACAATCTAATAGATATAATGCAAATAAAGAATTAGGATGTAAGTGTAGTATGACCTTTGAGTACGATAGTAAAGTAAAATAAATATACTGTACATATACAAATGAGGAAAATTAAGAAACCATATACAAATTTTAAGCTTCTCCGGATTTTTGATTTATATTATGTTTTTGGGACAGCACGGTGGCACAGTGGGTAGCGCTGTTGCCCCACAGCAAGAAGGCTGCTGGTTCAGTTGGCATTTCTTTGTGGAGTTTGCATGCTCTCCCTGTGTTTGCGTGGGTTTCCTCTGGGTGCTCTGGTTTCCCCCACAAGTCCAAAGGAATGCGCTTAAAAGTGAATTGGGTAAGCTAAATTGTCTGTAGTGTATGTGTGTATGTCTTGGTCAACCAGGTTGCGGGTTGAGCATTGAGCTAACGACCCACTACGTATAAATTAGATTACAAAACACCAACATGATGCAGCTAAATATCAACTGATATAAACGACCCTGGGAGTAAGCAAGCCGTTATGTTCTTGAGTAAAACATACTTTGTTTTATTCTATAAACCGCTAACAATATTTGTTTTAAAATTCCAATAAAACGTGTTTTTTATTAGCTTTTTTGGCAAAAAAAAACAAAAACAATTTTTCTTCATTATCATACAGGACCAAAGTTTTAACTAAAGAGAACTTAAAAAAGCAATACTTGGTACAAATAACCCTGCTTTTAACCACAAAAAAGATTAAACCCTTACCTATCTCTATTTTCTGGCAAAAATGCTAAGATTAGCCAAATTTGAAAAGAAATTTAATTCCAAATTTGAAAGAAATGTTATCAGACCTTTACAGACTAAAACAAACATTTACATTTGACTCAAAATCATGCATAATAAATCCAGAGAAACTGTTACATTTTAAGTGGTCTATTTTTTTCCTAAAGCTGTATAAACTGTATAAAATGCCACAGATGTTTGGCAGTGACTAAAAACACATTCTAGTAGAGTCTGTGATATGGGTTTGTATAATTAATAGGTGGCAATTAAAGTGAATAATGAAGCTGCGAGAGTACTGACACCCATTACAATGAACATAATGAAAACATCATATTCATGGCCAAGTGGATGAATACAAGCCATTTTGAAGCTTCAGAAAAGCACCTCATCCACTCACACTCTCTCTTTTTATACACATATATTGGGTTTTCATGGTTTATGAGAACTTTCCACAGATGTAATGATTTTTATACTGAACAGACTCTATGTTTTGTCCCCTAAACACAATAATTACAGAAAACATCAGTTTAACATTTTTAAAATACTCCATTCTGTTTTATTTGTGAGCCGTTTTCATTGTGGAGACCAAAAAATTGTCATAAATTACTAATATTACCATACTTGAGCGGACATTTGGTTCCCACAATGTAGTAAAAACAACAAACACATACAGTTGAGTCAGAGTTATTAGCCCTCCTGAATTATTAGCCCCCTGTATATATTTTTACTCCAATTTCAGTTTAATGAAGAGAAGATTTTCTAAACAATAGTTTTAATAACTTATTTATAAAAACAGGTTTCTTTTATCTTTGTCATGATGACAGTACATCATATTTTGTTAGACGCTTTTCAAAATACTGGTATTCAGCTTAAAGTGCCTAGGAAAATTAAGCAAGTTATGGTAATTAGGCAAATCAATGAATAACAATGGTTTCTACTGTAGACAATCAAAACAAATTGCTTAGTAATATTGACCTAGTAAGTACACTCAAACAAATATACACACTAATATACTCTCTCACACACACAACTTACTGTTGTTCTCTGTGCTGTTGAAAGGCAGACTGGATTGAGTGTGTACATCTAGCTCATTCCTCTCCTTCTCCTCAGCTCTCCTCTTCTCCTCTTTGGCTCTGGCCTGCTCCTGAGCCTCCAGCAGTCTGGCCAGAGCCTGCCGCTGCTGCTCTTCCCTGAGTTTGGCCTCTCGTTCCTGTGCAAGTTTCCTTTGCCGCTCAGCCTCCTCCTGCTCCAGCCGCTCCTGCTCCAACTGGGCCTGTCTGTAAACACAGGCACACGTCCACAACATGTTTCTATGAGTGTGGTGTGAGTCTGAGCATTCGTAAGGGGGTAAGATTATCTGTGTTTAACCCAGCAATACTAAGAGCTTATTTGCTGAAACACAACAGTTTACTGAATAGCAGAAAATGAATTTAAGCCATATGGTTGCTTAAATATTAGATTTTTGCTTGATAAAATACAATATTCCACACAAATATACATGAAATATTCACTTATATATTTGGTGTAATATTATTGAGGGGCTGCCTAGCACTGATGTCTCACAGCAAGAATGTGGCTAATTTGAGTCCCGGCTGGGCCAGTTAGCATTTCTTTGAGGAGACATGCTCTATATAGACGAATTTAATGAGCTAAATTGGCCGTAGTGTATGTGTGTGTGAATGCAAAAGTGTATGGATGTTTCCCAGTACTGGGCTGCAGCTGGAAGAGCATCCGCTGCATACAACATAAGCTGAAATAGTTGTCGGTTCATTCCGCTGTGGTAACCCCTGATAAATGAGGCACTAAGCCGAAGAAAAATGAATGAATGAATAAATGAATGTAATATTGTGTAGGTTTTATAGTTATTATTACTTATTATTACATAAAATATATCTAACTTGATCCGTTTTAAGCCTATAAAACGCATTAATTCAATATTATGAAATGGCTATTCTGGGAAAAACATTTATTTTATATGTATGTACACATTCATATAAATGTAATACATGTATTATTAAAATACAGTATATCTAATGTAAATGCATTTAAAAATATTTCAGAAAACTAAGTAAATAAAAAAAGTTTATATAAAAATTAATTCTAATAAATTCTGTATAAATAGTAAATAATAAAGTTTATAAATGCTAAAAAAAAAAAAGTCTAATTATAAATTATGAAAATAAGCCTTTATGATTCCAGGTTGTTCTTTAATGTGAGAAAATGTGTGTTTGTTAAAATTATACCTGGCGGCCTCCTCTTCTTTCTTCCTCTTTCTCTCCTCTTCCTCTTTCCTGTGTCTCTGGAGCTCTTTGAGTTTGTCAGATCTGACCCTCCTGAGCTGCTCCAGGACGTCCTGCTGCTGGCTCTGCTTCTGTCTCAATTCCTGCAATGTCACCCACACACACATACTCTTCAGCACTTTTAATCATGCTTATGTCAAAAATGTCAAATAATATAATGCATATAATGCTTCACATGTTACTCACTGCCCAAACTAACACAATCGAATTACCAAACACTGAACTTTTTTAAGAAGACAAAAAAAAATTAGATCAGTTCTGTTAGAGTTACTTTAGAAATATAATGCAGAAATACATTTACAAAATATTTCATTTAAAATAGTAGTAACATACACTACCGTTCAAAGGTTTCAGGACAGTAAGATTTATTTCAGGTCTTTTCTGTTTACCAAGAATCAAAAATCTAATATTTTATATTATAGGGCACTATAAAGGCTAAAGAACATAATTCTTATTTGCTTAATGTTTGTAGCCTAGGGCGATATACTTCCCACCATGCATTGTATCTTTTTTTAAAATATGGTGTACACGCTTTTATTACTAAGAAAACTAAACCAAAAAATCAAAATTATACTTTAACTAAGCACATCACATCACATAAGGTACACATAGAGTACCATCCTTTCTATTGTTGTGAAAAGGCAAAGCTGAAAATCTATGGTTTAAGCGCTACCCAGCAGTCAAAAGCTGCTGGCGCACCTACAACCACGGCGGCAGAGGGAACATATTGTGTTGACATCTGTATACTGTATGTTATAGATTTATATATAGCAACTCTCATAATAATAATGAGACAAAAATCAGTATGTGAGTCACTATGAAAATATGAGATGCTTAAATACAATTTTAATGTCTAATAATTAGAAAGCAGTTAACCTTTCTAAAATATGTGCTTTGTTTAATATTCTGCATTCATTTTGATATCCTTTGCATGTGCTCTTTCGTTGTTGTTGTTGTTTTTTCTCTTTCTTTCTTTCTTTCTTTCTTTCTTTCTTTCTTTCTTTCTTTCTTTCTTTCTTTCTCTTTCTTTCTTTCTTTCTTTACCCTTGTTTTTCTACTTCAAATTTAATTTCCCTAATGGTAAAAAAAAGATCTGTTTTACATACATGGTAATTGCTTTGATGTTAAGGCAATACACAAAAAAAGATAATAAAATAAACTATCAAAATGTGAGATACTAAAATCACTTTTGAATGTAGATCCACTTTTACTCTTAAACTTGTGATTATGATCAGTCTTCTACTCTGTTTAGGAATCAGCAGAACTGATCGCACAATATACAAGACAATACATTTGTCACTGGAACTCAGGAACTGTTGGACAATGCCAAGGTGGGCAGATGATGTCATTGTTTGAGGTATGTCTAGTTGACTAAAACGCTCAACAAAAAGATAATTTCTTAGTGTATTATTCAAGAACTTAATGAATATATTATATTGTATAAATCATAAACCAAGAGAAACTGTTAAAGGTATAATAGTTCAGCCAAAAATAGAAATTCTGTCATCAAATGATGTCACCCTTTACATTGTTTCTTTCTTCTGCTAAACACAAAAGAGGATATTTTGTGGAAAGCTTAAAACCTGTAACCACTGACTTCCATACTGTTTGTGTTTCCTACTATAGAAGTCAATGATTACAGGTTTTCAGCTTTTATCAAAATATCTTCTTTTGTGTTCAACAGAGTAAAGAAACTCTAACAGGTTTGGAATTGCTTGAGGTGAGTAAATAGCGAGTTCATTTTCATTTTTGGATAAACTATCCCTTTACATTAAATGTTTGTCAGGTTGATAGTAATATCTTAAAAACAAACATCCTATTACTGTAAATTGTTAGTTTTCAGGCAGTAAGTAGAAACGTTATGATTTACGACACAATTATGAAATGACACAGATGGAAGCAATGTTACAAGGTCAGACACTGAATGAATTCAATATAATATCTGTAAAGTGGGACTCTTTCATGGAGATGAGCGAGACAAAAAAGGGGAAATGAATGAAGAGCAGGCAGCTTTGGGATGAGTGTGAGTGAAGATTAAGAGAGGTCAACCTTTATTAGAAGGAAGAGATTGGTTAAGCAGCCCAGCAAAGAGAGAAGTCCTTGTAGCACACAGTCATCCATTTCAACAAACTATAAAAACCGCCGGGATTGAGAGCGGGAGAAGAAAAAGGAGACAGATACAGTCAGGGGGAAGAAAATGATAAAAGTGGGTACAGAGAAAGAAAGGCTCGGAGCAGAAAACATTCATTGTGTCCTGAACAATAGCCGAGTGTTACATGTATAATGCTCAGGTTTCCAATCCGACCAGCCGGTTGTTAGTGATAGTGTTTGTGTTTTGTGAGTTTTCAGTGAATGTTAGTGTGTAATGAAGTGTTCAATCCTCTGCCTTCAGGGCTGGGAGTTGAGCTGTAGGTTTTAATCACAGGAACATGGAGAACAGTGAACTAGTGAGTCTCTCGCAGGGACACCAAGGTTTAAAATAAATTCGAAGACAGAGCAAGTCACCACCCAGAGCCCACATTAGCTTTTTAAGGTCAGACACTGCAGGGAAAAACACTGTTTATTGCACCTGTCAGTTTTGAGGTGTTGTGCTATCAGCTTTACTTAAAGTGTTTTGTAATGCAATGAAAATATACAAAATACATTTTTAAGTGTTTTTAAGTGTTTCTATTCTTCTCTTTCAGTTTTTCTTTTCTTTTCAGTTGTGTCTGTAGATTTCAATTACAGCACATATTGTTAAATGCCATTTTATTTGCTACTTATATACTTATATATAAGTCAGAATTATTAGCCTCATTTGAATTTGTTTTCTTTTTAAAATATTTCTCAAATGATGTTTAACAGAGCAAGGCAAATTTCACAGTATGTCTGATCATTTTTTTTCTTCTGGAGAAAGTCTAATTTGTTTTATTTCGGCTAGAATAAAAGCAGTTTTAAAAATAAAACATTTTAAGGTCAAAATTATTAAACCTTTTAAGCTTCGACAGTCTACAGAACAAACCATGGTTATACAATAACTTGCCTAATTACCCTAGCCTGCCTAGTTGTCACTTTAAGCTGTATAGAAGTGTACACAGCACACACAAACACACACAGTCTTATCCTCAATGTAAAAAATGCTGGGTTCCACACAATTCCTTCATGTTGTCCCAACACATTTAAGTTAACTGCTTTTACAAGTTTAAGTGGATTAAACATATAAAATTAAGTTGTCTTCCTAAAAAAATAAGAAATGTATTGCTTCAACTTTAAATAAGTAGTTTGCACAAGCAGCAAAAGTAATTTTGCTGAGTGTATATTCTAAAGGATTTTGCAGATGGAACTGTTTATACATAATTTATCTGATTGCTTACAACATTTTATTATACAAATCTATTTTCTGGCTGTTCAAGGTATTTTCTGAATTGAGATAAATAAAAAAATACATTTGAACCAAAAAAAATTTACTTTTTACCTCTTATGTGCAAAAAATATAGAATATTTTTAAACTAAAAATCTTTTATTTTCTGTATTATTTAACATTAAATAATAAAAAAAGTGCATGTTCTGGTCAAATCTGGTATATCGCATGATTTGAACTATAAAGCACAAAATAGTAGAAAATGTCAACTATTTTATTGTCATCTCCAGTTAAAAAAATTATGAAAAAATGCACAAAAGCACGCATGCACATCAATCTGAATGGGTGCTCAGCCAAACAGCAAAAAGTGCAAAAATACATTCAAAAAGGCAGGAACACCAAAGCTCCAAAAATCACCAATTTATTAAATAATAAATTGCTAACACAAAGCATGTATTGTTTCGAGCACTCCTCATTACACCTTTTTAAATTAATAAATTAGTATTTTTTTTGGAGCTTTGGTGTTCCCGCCTTTTTGAATATATCTTTGGTTTAAAAGGTTAACAATAAGTTTGTCAACAATTTGTTACAACAAATCTCATCTATAATCACATTTAAGCATTTGCATTATCTTACATTAATAATGGATTCAGTTCACTGTATTATACATGTATATATGTGTTGTATGTCAATTCAGTTTAAAAGAAATGAATGGAAAATACTTGAAAAGTATTGTACATGCAATTCTGAGTTGGCTCATATATACTGTATATAGACAAACTTCCCAACTGTGATGAAAGAAGTAATACCTCATTTGCATATTCAAACAGTATTTTTAAAAACCTGCATTTTTTATATAATTAATCAACTTGGGTAATATAATTCCTGATGCACTCTACTATGAGTTCATCTTATTTACCCTTTTCACCCGCAGTGTCTTGTCTTTAATCAAAACGCATCACTTTAAAAGAGGTTGAGGTTTACACTGGGAATGCAGGAAAAGCCGCTGACCTTGATTTCTTTGTTGTACTGCTCCATTTGTGAGAGTTTGGCCGTGGTTTCTCTCTCCAAAACATCCAGCTGCTCCTTAAGCTTCCGACAGCTCCGATCTTTCTCGCACACACTCTGTTTCACATCGTTTATCAAAGGACCTAAAAGAGCGAAAGAAAAAAACATCAATGTTTCAGAGCCCTAGGTTCAAGAGGGATGAAATGGACACAAATGAAATTAGTCACTGGCGCATTTATCTATTCATTGATTGCTTTAGGTCTGTGTGAGTGCTTACTGGAGATGTTTTGGGTAAAATGTACAAGTCTGTCAGCCAGTCGCTGCTTTTCAGGGCCCAGCTGATTCAACTGCCGCTGCATCTCCTGGAATAACACATTCATGTACAGTACACTGCTGTTTAAAAGGCTGAGGTTGGTGAGATTTGTATTTCTTAAAAAGGTTTCTTTTGCTCACTGAATACAGTAAAAACCAGTAAAACTGTGAAAAATCATAGTTTAAAATCACTGTTTTCTATGTGAATAAAGTTCTATACAAAATTATTCAATTATTTGCCCTCCTACAATGTTTTTCTTTTTCAAATATTTCCTGAGTTTAACTGAGGGAAGATTTTCCCAAATAGTTTTTAAACAATCATTTTAAAATCTAATTTCTATTAACTAATTTTCTTTGTTTTTGCCATGATGACAGAACTTAATATTTTACTAGTTGTTTTGCAAGATCCTAGTATTCAGCTTAAGGTGCAATTTAAAGGCTTAACTCGGGTTAATTAGCTTACTTAGGCAAGTTAAGTTAATTTGGCAAGACACTGGACAACAGTGGTTTGTTCTTTCAGCCAAAAATCAGGGAAAAAGTATTTCTTAGAAAGGCTAATAATACTGACCTTAGCATTTTTTTCATTTATTTAAATAATGTTTTTTTTTACTTCAGCCAGATTAAAATGATACGACTTTCTGCAAAAGAAAAATATAATAGGAAGTCCTGTTAAAATAATCCTTGTACTGTTAAACAATATCTGGGAACTAACTGAAAAAGAATGAAAATTTGTCTTCTGCTGTATGTTTTCAAATATAATTCATTATTGTGATGAAAAGCTGAATATTTAGCATCATTATTTCAGTCTTCAGTGTCACATGATACTATTCTAATAAGGTAATTTGGTGATTAAGAAACACTTCAGATTTGATATAGAGGAAGTTTAAAAGAACAGTGTTTATCTGAAATATATTATAACATTTATTCATTTAATGTACTCTTTTTAAAAAAATATTCAGTCAACATACATTTGGTGTATATGTAAAAATATTTTTTATTATTTTTCTTTTTTAGATTTTAGCCAAGCTTCTTATATAACTATTTTAGTATTTTTAATAAATATTAAGTTTAATTAAACTTTTTTAAATTGGTAAAATCATGTTTATACTGCTTTTGCTCAATATTTCATTAAAACTAATATAAATGTCCATGAAAAATGTGCTTTCTGATCTTAAACTTTTTAACAGAAGAAACAGGGACTAAAATAAATACTTTTCAAGCAATAAGTGCCTTGGACATCTATGTCAGAGTCATAAAGGTTTTCTCAGTGTATTATGGGCCTTCCTGTTATGCATATACAGTCTGACCTAATGATAATAATGAATGCAATGTAACTGGTGCAACAAAAACACAGCATACATCAAACTGTAACTGCAGTGAGTTGATATCAGTAATGCAGACGTCTCTCCTCTGGTTGATCAGCTCCAACTCGGCCCACTGCCCCTGTCTCTTACTCTTAGCATCACGCAGCTGACTGGAGATCTGCTTATGCTTGTTACCCTAGCAGAAAAAAAGACAGAGATGTATTTAATGCAATTGTTCACTACTCAAAAATTCTCTCATCATTTACTCATCTTGTACACATTCTTTGAAGAATGCAGGAAACCATTAGAAATTGACTTCTGTACTATATTTTTACCTACTATATAGACATTGATGGCTGCTGGTTTCCAACAATCTTCAAAATATCTTCTTTTGTGTTCAACAGAAAAAAGAAACTCAAAAAGGCTTAAAACAGTACACAGATGTCAATTTTAGTAGTCATCATTGAATCAATCAGTTCCATAGAGTAAAAAAACTGAATGATCAACAGGTAAGGGTTGCACAAGCTGTTTGTAAAGTTCTTCATTTAACTGGAAGGTAAAGTCCACACTTAGTAAATACTAGCTGGTTGATGACAAAACATTTACTTTGGTTGCACCACATCTTCTAAAGGAAGAACATAGTCAGGTCATAGGCTCTCCATAAGATAATGCATCGTGGTACCCAATCACCAATCTGATGTCTTTAAATTGTTAACTCTCAAGCATATTACAAGACATGCCAATCCTGCCCACCCCCAAGCTCCTCTGTTGTTATTCTTGATATTTTAATACAATCATATATCCCCAGATTTCATCAAAGTCTTTGTTTTGGTGATTTTGGTGTTTGTTTTGGATGTCTGAGCTTACTGGAAATTGTTTTCTTTACTTTATACAGTTTGCTTACATTTTTTATAAAGTATAAAATATGTATATTTTACATAAAAATATGGTACATTTTAAAATATATAAATAAATACAAAACATCAAAAATCTAAAAAAAAAAAAAAGTTTTAAAGTTTTTAAAAAATATAAATATACATAAATTAATTGATAGTGACAGAGATTTGTTTTGGGCTTTTTTTTTAAAATTGGGATCAAACCTGAGACCTTCCTGTCTAAATATGTGCTAAAAGGAAACACTAAAGGTCCCGTGAAGTGCTTTGAAATGTGTATATTTATTTGATGTTTGACGTAAACTAAACTGAACCATGAATAAGGGGTGGGACATAGTGTAACTCCTCCCCTTTAAAAACAGCCAACAGCATTTGTTACTTTTATCCCAGCTCTGCAAGTAAGAGTGGTTGACCTCAAGCACTTAAAATAAAAAACAAATGATAAGTGTCTTGAAATGTCAGACACTAGAAAGCATTTGTTTGGTCAAGATTTGATGAAAAACTGAAGTATGAGGTCACTTGAAAAAAAACGTTAATCCATTGAGGTGGAAGTAACAAACAACAAGCTTTAGATGTTAAACTTGAATTTTGTCACTGTTCTGTAGCACATTAGCTTATAGATATCTATAAAACATATTCAGTATACTGATACTAACATCTAAAAAAGCATTATTTGAATTTCATAGGACCTTAAGGGCTGCATGTAGGACGGGAAAACTGTCTAAAATCAAAAGGAAGAGAATGAAAACTTCAGTCATGAAGAAATTCTTATTTTAATTGATGAATATAAACAAAACAAAACCCTACTTGACAGAAAATTAAACCCTTCTGTATCATATTGAAAAGAAATTTGAGATTTGGCAGGAAACAAAAATCTAATTTAAAGCAAAAGGCTATGAGGGAGATGAAGGGAGTGAGAACCTGTGGCTTGTCATTATCAGTCACAAGCTCATCAGTGTAATCTAATCTTGCTGTCATCTCTTTTCTAACATCATTCATGGCCAAAAGCTTATTTACATATTTAAACTATAAATGACCTAGTAGTGCATGAGCTGTAATTAAGCTACATTTTAACTTTGGCACTGCTTGTGCTACGGGCCACATATTTATGGTATTAAAAACAAATCCAAATCTGACCACGGCCTCCAGCTCAATCTCAAGACTCCTCTTCCTGTCCTTTAGTCTCTGTATGTCATTCTGCTCCTTTTCTTTCTGAGTCTGAAGCTCCACACGTTTGCTCTTCTCCCATTCCCTCCGTCTTTGTCGCTCAGCTTCCTGGGAAAAAGAGAAGGAGAGGTTCATCAACAGATGTTCATGTAATCACTCATTCAGACGTGAATTTACGACATAATTACACTCTCATTATTCACATACTGTAGGGTGACAAATGGGAACGACTCTACCAATATAATATAGATTAGAGCTGATTCAGTTTATCTACTGTCAATATATTTATTGAGCATAATAAAATTGATCTACTTATTATATACTATTACACCAGTTCAAATGGACAAGTGTTAAATACATACATTACACATTTTGCTATTATATTAAAATGCGTTAAAGAAGAATAAACTTGCCATTTATGAGTACAAACAGTTACTTACAGTACATACAAGATAATTATATTTATTTGATTTTAAATATTTAATTCATGTATTATTTAATCACAATTTTCCAGAGTTGTTTCCCAGTACTGGGTTGCAGCTGTAAGGGCATCCGCTGTGTAAAACATATGCTGGATAATTGGGGGTTCATTCCGCTGTGGCGACCCCTGATTAATAAAGAGACTAAGCTGAAGGAAAATGAATGAATGAGTTAATTAATTAATTAATTAATTCCAGGGTTATAATAGTTGACATTTAGTTGGCTTGATATAAAATAAATGTTAACTGAAAAAACTGATTTATTGTATTTTAGCTAGGTTCCAGGGAAACATTTCCCACTTTCACTTAAACTGAATTAAAACTAATGTTATTAAAATAAAATCTTTAATGCAAAAAAATATAGAAATTGAATAACAAATGACTTTAAATAAAACTAAATTTTAAAAACAAAATATACATTAAACTTCTCTAATTCAAACTATAAAAAACTGAAACACATGACTAAATTTAATAAAATAACACTGCTATATTCCTAACTTAAATATTAAATAATCCTTAATATTTTAACATTATTTCATTACATTATTTACGCAAATGCATTACATTTATTCATGGGTCAAAGACGAGACATTCCATTTTGGTGTAATTATATTACATTTATTTTAGAAGAAATTATTTTACATTATATAATCTTTCAATTTTAAAAAACTTCTTGTTGTGTTTGAAGGACAGTGGTAAAGTATAACGATTTAAAATGACAAATAAGAAGCGTTTTGGTGCAACACCATGATTTAAAAAAAGTATTTTAATATGATTAAATGATTCTTGTATATATGCCTTACATGATGTTTTGGCCTAAACATTTGTGCTATACTAAATTACATTTTAGAGGGTGTCCTCTGCAAATTACAGTTTTTATTTCTTGCACTTATAAAAACAGATTAACGGGATACAGTGCGGTGGCACAGTGGGTAGCACTGTCGCCTCACAGCAAGAAGGTAGCTGGTTCAAATCCTGGGTGGGTCAGTTGGCATTTCTGTGTGGAGTTTGCATGTTCTCCCTGTGTTGGCGTGGGTTTCTTCCAGGTGCTCCAATTTCCCCCACAAGTCCAAAGACATGTGTCATAGGGGAATTGAATAAACTAAATTGGTCGTAGTGTGTGTGTGAAAGAGTGTGCATGGGTTTCCCAGTGATGGGTTGCAGCTGGAAGGGCATCCGCTGTGTAAAACATATGCTAGATAAGTTGGAATTTCATTCCGCTGTGGCAACCCCAGATTAATAAAGGGACTAAGCCGAAAAGAAAATAAATGAATAAATAAACAGGATACATTCAAATGTAGCGGACACTAAAAATGTTCATTGGATTTAGAATGTTTTTAAGGGTAAGTGGTTGTGAATAATTTATTTGGGCAGAATTTAAACAAACAAATAGAATTAAGTGAATTAAGAATCAAGTTTATTTGGCCTGTTTGGAGTTCTAACCCCTGACTGTGATTTACCATTTTATTTTTCTGAATTAATAGCTTAAATAGCTTGGCGGTGTATTTTGTTGCAGTGGAAGTTTCCTCAACCCACATCCTATACTCAATGCATTAAAGATGCATTACTTTTGTTAAATTAGAAAAAATAAATATAGTCTTCGAGGTTCAGTGATCAAATTTTATAACATTTGGTTGCCATTCCTGGAGCATGACAAATCCCTGAAACTTGAAGCAGGTAATGTTGAATAATTGGTTGCCCATCTTTAGTTTGCACTTTTAGTTTGTACCTTTCCGATGCATACTAGAGCTGATATAGCACTAGCATACAACTCTTCTTGTCATAAAACCACAAGTTTGAAGAACGTGCCACCCCCCCAGCCAATTCAATTTAATAGATTTTCTCTTTTTTTCTCTTTTAAATGTTTTATTTTTATTATTTTTTTATTATCATTATTTATTTTGCTTAATACTTCATGCTGCCAACCTCAACCTTTGGAACTGAACTGTTTATTTGCTTAATTTATAAAATGACACATCATATGTTGTTTATGTACATAATATACTGTTTTTTGCACAATATGAGGATTATAGTGTGGTTTATTTTATTGTTTTTCATCAATTTTGTACTGTTATATACATTTTTAATTATTTTTTCTATTTGTACTGCTGTTTTCTCTGTTACTTTTGTTTGTTAATTTTTATAAAATCGGATAAAAAAGTTATTTAAATTAAGTGCAGAATTAAGTGTTCAATTTAATTTGTTTGTTTTAATTCAGCCCACATAAATTATTTGCAACCACTTACATTAAAAACATTGTAAATCCAATTAATATATTTTTTAGTGTATGACATTTGTTTTTTAAATATAACATAATAAACTAATATAGGGCAACAGTGGCGCAGTGAGTAGCATAACTGTCTAACTACAAGAACGTCGTGGGTTCGAGCCCTGGCTGGGTCATTTGGCATTTCTGTGTGGAGTTTGCATGTTCTCCCTATGTTTGGGTGAGTTTCCTCATGGTGCTCCGGTTTCCCCTCACAGTCCAAAAACATGCTGTACAGGTGAAATGGCTAAATTATCCGCAGTGTATGTGTGTGCATGAGTGTGTATGGGTGCTTCCTAGTGATGGGTTGCATCTGGAAGGGCATCCGCTATGTAAAACATATGCTGGATAAGTTGGCAGTTCATTCTGCTGTGGCAAACAAAGGGACTAAGCTGAAAATGAATGAATGAATAAACTACTATATGTCAATTATTTAGTATTACAAAACTGTATTTCAAACCATGATTAATATTAGCATATTTTCTAGAACAAATGTATCGGTATAAAAGGCCTGCGTGTTTGTGTTAAAGCGTGGGGCTCTGCTGTGTTTTTCTGCTGGTGGTTCACCCTCTGTATGTCCTTGCTTGCTCTACTTGCCTCTCGCCGCTCTAATTCTTTCAGTCGTTCCTCCTCTCTCTGTCGCTCCAGCTCTCTCTGTCTCTCCATCCTGCGCTCCTCCTCTCTCTGTCTCCTGATCTCCATTTCTCGCGCTTCTCTCTCTCTCCTCTCTCGCTCCTCTCTTTCCTTCTGCTGTCTCTTCTCCTCCTCTCGCCTCTCCTCTTCTCTCCTGCGCTCCTCCTCTCTCCTCTGCTGCTCCTGAAGAGCCAGGCGACGCTTCTCCAGCTCTGCGTTTCCCCTCTGGAAATTTTCCCTCAGTTTGTCTTCATATGAAACTGAGAAAGACAGAAAACAGTATTAGTTTGCACAGAAACTGCATATTTAAAAAATGACAGTTTAATGCTTTTAACTCAAAATCAGAAGTGAATTGTTTTTTCCAGTTCTTTCAGGATTTTGTAGCTATTTATCAGATTTTTGTGGCCTAAATTAACTGAAACTGGGATGGCTTTTTTCAAAATAAGCGGCATTTCTTCCTTAAAGGAATACTCTATTTTTACCCATAAGTTAAAAAGCTGAGTTTGACCATTTTGAATCCACTTAGATGATCTCCAGATTTGCCGAGAGCACTTTTAGCTTAGCTTAGCATCAATCATATACATAATACACTGTATCTATTTATTTATATAAATTTAACCCCGGTATAAAAACCCATTATGCCTATGGACAGTCTTCATAAAGTAGATATACAAGTGTGTGTGTGCATATCCAAATACCATTGCTCTTGTTTTTCTGTGGCAGTTCTGGCTCAATCAGCTCAGTGCTAATCAGAGGAACAGGTCCGTTTAGCAGGTCACATGACTTAGTTGTTCTGAAAACAAATATAGGCACAGAATAAACACAGTCTCCTTCATATCTTGTTAATGCCAGCAGACCTGTGTGTGTGTTTACCTGAGTGAAGGAGGCACAAGGTCGGGAGGTAAAGTGAGAGGTAAAGGCCGCCCTGTCTTGGCCATTTCAACCAGATGCATCGCTAAAATAAACTCTTCTGCTCTCAACTGCCCATCACGATCCACATCAGCCAGAAACCTGTAGAAAGACATTTTATATATATATATATATACTTCTGGGATTATCCTGGAAGCATTTCAAATGTTTAATAGCTGAATCACAGTTCATAATTACACAACTGGCAGCTAAACTGCAGACGCAAGACTGTGGAAGTAGATGTTTAACACACTGCTTAAAGAAATAAGGTTGAACCCACAGTTTAATGTGTGGAAGTGATTAATTCAGAGGTCTTCAACATGTTAATTTAATTTAATTTAATTTTAGTTTATTTTGTTTTATTTTATTTAACATACAAAAACCAATAAAATTGGAAATAGATAATATGTCACATGCAAAAAAATCAAAGATATAGTTGGGCTAAATATTTAATGCTAAAATTATAGACATTTATAGACACTTTATATAGATATGTAGACATAATTGGAAAAAAAAGAAATTATTTCAGATTAAACACTAAAATGAAAAACTTAAAACATTTCAAATGAAATTGTATATACTTTATACATGTACAGTATATATTGTACACTATACATAGATGTGCAATACAAAACTAAATTGATTGATAACAATACATGCAAACATACACACACAAACATGTACATACTTCTCCATTTGCATTTATAAAAAAAAAAATGATAAAACCATGTAACAAAGTTAAATGTTAAGGGAAGAAGGAGGCAATCATGTAATTTTTTTGTAAGAACAAAGCTAAAGTAAACTGACAGACCCTTATAGATCACTGTCACACAAACAAAACAGCAGTTTAGGGCTTCCCAAAATAAGATACATTTAATTTTTAGATATTAATTTATCAAAACCATCATACATTAAAGGCATCATGTTGTGTTTTATCAATAGTGAAAGCAGTGTTGTGTGAACTCACCATATAGTGGCAAGCTGTGTTTGTGTGAGGTTTGAAGCTGTGAGGGCATTTCTGACCTGGGGACCTTCAAACATACAGACTAGCAAGTTAATGCATATGGCAAACGAGAGATGCTCACACATGATCATAAGCAAACATTGCCATCCCCTCTTCTTCCTGCGATCTACACACACATAAACTCACCTGACAGGTATCCACTCATTAGCTTGTCCAGGCTGTTAAACAGTTGTCGGTACTTCAGACGGGATGACTGAGGCACTGCCCAATCAGAACTACTCGTTTTCGGGGAGTTACTCGCAAGGGAGGTGGTGGAGGACGAGTTAGAACTGTGGACATTTAGAAATATATATTATATTAGTGTATATACACTGCCTGACAACAGTCTCGTCGCCTATCCAAGTTTTAGACACAACAAATTAGTATTGATAATTTGGTTTCAAAGTGGCTTATATGACAGGCAAAAGCCTCTATATTACATTTATTTTACTGTTTAAAATATGATCATGTCTTGATTTTAAATTATTTCAATAAGACAGTAAGACCTGACTTCGCTTAGGCAAAAGTCTTGTCACTTAACAGAAATAATGTACTGTATAAAATGTTAAATAAACAATAGTGGAAAAAGAATTAATATTGTGTTTGATTCCCATGAGCTTGAACGACTGCATCCATACATCTCTACAATGACTCAAATAACGTATTAATAAAGTCATCTGGAATGGCAAAGAAAGCATTCCTGCAGGATTCCCTGAGTTCATCAAGATTCTTTGGATTCATCTTTAATGCCTCATCCTTCATTTTACCCCAGACATGCTCAATAATGTTCATGTCTGGTGACTACGTTGGCCAATCCTGGAGCATCGTGACTATCTTTTACTTTTAGGAACTTTGGTATGGAGGCTGAAGCATGAGAAGGGAAGGAGCGCTATCCTGCTGAAGAATTTGCCCTCTCTTGTGGTTTGTAATGTAATTGGTAACACAAATTTCTTAATACCTCAGGCTGTTGATCCACTCTGCAGATCTCTCACATGCCCTTATACTGAATACAACCCCAAACCATAATTTTTCCTGCACCAAACTTGACTGTTTTCTTTAAGAATCTTGGGTCCAGTTTGGGACAAATTAATTCACTCAGCAGAAATTCGAATTTATAGGCAATGTTTGGTGTAAAACAAAATAAAATAATACGTAAAAGACTTTAAAAAATAAATAAATAAATGCAAGTTCCATTCAAATGTTTGGGGTAAATAAAAATTACCCAATGGGGAAAAATACATTTTATATTAAGATAAGAAATAATTTTACAAATAAAAGTAATAATCTTTTCTTTTGTCAGCTGGAATACATTAAACTGAAAAAATGCATGTAAAATATTTTTAAAGAGAGAGCAAAATAATAAAAGGACATGAACAGTTACTTGTATATGAATTGATTTTCCCTTTCAGATGAAAAAATTACTTGTTGTTTACATGTATACGTTGTTTATGTCACTATACACTGCAAATTAGCATGAGGCCACTGTCTGTTCAAATAAAAAAACGCATATAACAAAAAAAAGACATTATTATTATTTTTTATTATTTTGTTTTATTATTATTAACAGTCTTAATAATATTTTTTTTTATCTTCAGGACACTGTGGCCTCATGCTAATTTGTAACATTCTGCAAATCTGCTTCTAAATATATAGTACCTAATTAATTTATATATGGTAGCCTTGAATGAGCTAATGAATTCTAAATGTAGATCCTCTTCCTTCTCCAAATATGCATGTTCATTCCTATAATTCCTCAGTTTCATTTGCATACCATTCTATAAAAAAAAGAATTTAGAAATAGCATATGCATTCCAAATTCAAATGAGCATCATTTAGCAGCTGCTCATTAACAGCTAATATAATCCCCAAATGAACCAATAGCCCAGACTATCATAAAACACAGACAACTGGTCTCGGTCTAGCTGCAAGATCAGCTTTCCTCCAGTGCTGAGAGTTTCTGCTGTGACATCATACTCTAAATAATTGATATGTCCGAGCAACATTTGAGGAATTCTTATTGAAACTGTAATTACAACAACCGGGACCATTAAAACTCTAATTAAAACGTATGATTATAAGCAATTCCACAGCAGTTCTACTCATTGCTGTCGTTTATTGATTTGAAATGTTCTGAGATTATACTAACAAGATGCAGCCTTTTGCAACCTTGTATGGGTGAAATAAATGATAAAATAGGAGGTTGTGTCACAAGGAAAAGGATAATAGATGCAGCTAGGATGTACTCACATTGACTAAATGGATAGTTCACCCAAAAATGACAATTCTCTAAGTTACACATCCTCCACTTTTCCAAATTTGTTTAAATGTCTTTTTTTGTTGAATAAAAATAAAAGTGGTAGTCTTCCAAAATATTCTGAAAACTGTTGGAGGAAAAATCAGCCATTGACTGCCATCGTATATTTTATCACATCACTATGGCTGCTTTATTCCAGCATTCTTTGGAATATCTTATTTTATGTTCAACAGAAGAATGAAATTAAGTTCATAATCTTTTAAGTGTGAGTAAATGGTGAGGAAATTTTCATTTAGGGGGACCTATACCTGTTTGTAGTTCAAACTACTGATTTACATTAAGTTGAAACAACACAATTCTTGAATTTTTTTTAGAAACAACATAAAGGTTTTATGTTTAATCTACTTTAATTTTTAAAAACTAATAAGTTAACTTAATTCCTTCATGTTGTCCTAACACAAATCAATAGGATGTGCAGCATTTTTGACAGTGTTTAATATTATAATCAAAACAAACATGCAAACACAGTAAAATGGTAACTAAAATGTCAAAGACAAGAATGGAAAAATAACAAAGCCATCTTCTCTCCTTTGCTCTCCTCGTTTCCCTCCTCAGTTCTAACTGCTGATGACTTAGTCACATTCTTTATAAATAAAATAATAATCATCAGCAATTCTACACACCAACAAACTGACAAAAATATCTGCAAGCATACACACTCGCCCTCTTGTTCTTTTCACTCTCTCAGGCAGTTAAGTAGAATGTGGAGCAACTCTGCCACTACACCAGATGCATTGAAACAAAAAGTGCAAAAAAATCCTGTTTTCAATCCAAAGCACGATGGTATTATTAACAATAAATCAATCTCCTTTTGCTGGAATCCTCTTTTTCCCACTCTCTCAGGCAGAAATGTCCAAACTCATCGTTTCCAATCACACTACTACCTGTCCCTGTCAGCTTTATCCTATCCCATCTCATTCGTCAAGCTGTTTTTTTCGCTCAAATATACCTGCACTCACTCACATTGTCAACCTATCTCTTCCCACCAGCACCTTTCCTACATCATTTAAGCAGGCTCAGATAACCCCACTGCTTCAGAAACAAACTCAAGCTCAGAAAAACTACAAACCAGAATTTTTTTTCCATATAGTGTTTGTCTTTCTCACAAAGAATAACCTTATGTGCAGAAAACAGTCTGGCTTCAAAAGCACACATTTAACCGAGACTGCATTCTTCATGGTTTTTGAAGCTGCAGTACAAGGCACGCTTGAGAAATTTTTATATAATCAGTTATCGTCTTGCTGGATCTGCTTTTGACATGCATGGTCACCCACCAGATCTTCCCAGAAATTATTATGACTAATAGTATTTCAGGAACCACACACCAGTGGAACTGCTCTCTAAGACTTACATCTATTAGGTCCCTAAGAGTGTTTTGGAGTCTCAACACCTACTGGCATGTAGATGTCTCAACAGCTACTGGCATGCCTCAAGTATCAGTATTTGAACTTTTGTTCTTCATGCATACGTCACCACATTAAGTGACATGACTTTTTTTATCATGGCTATGCTGACGAAATTTCACCCAGAGAGACAGCTCACCCAAATATAAACATTGACAGTTAATTTATTCACCCTCAAGCCTGTCATGTCCTATGTTCCATGTGTGTTTGTTTTCCACCATGTTTCCCGCCGTTTCATTATGTTCATTATTTCCACCTGTGTCTTACCCCTGTGTATCATCAGTATCATCATGTTCTGTGTATTTATAGTGCTGCGTGTCATTCAGTCTTGGTTTGGTATTCTCAGTTGTGCTTTGTCATCATCCCATGTCGTTCCTGTGTTAGCGATGTCCTTTCAGTGTTTGTAAAAAAATCTACATGTTTGATAAATCCTGCAATCCTTTTGCCTTCCTGAGTGAGCCAAGGTGTTAAAAAATAATTGATGATGTAGAGTAGCTGACTTTTATTTTCTTCAGTAAAACAATAAAGAATTTTTTTTTCTGGATCTGTTGTCCTTGATTTATTATTCTGGACTGACACAGTTTCAATTTACTAGAACCTCCATGTTAAGCTGCTTTGACACAATCTACATTGTAAAAGTGCTATAGAAATGAGCATGAATTGAATTAAATTCATGTGAAGTCATCCGTTTTGGAAATTAAAAATAAACACACACAAACTACTTCATATTAATCCCTGTGGCTTCTCATGATACACTGAGGTTTTATGAAGCAATATTATTAGCTTTACAAACAGTTCTCATTGCACACACATGGGCAAGACTGTGGATGCCAAATGGTTCTTACCTGTTATAAAATGTGAACAAATGATAGATTACATTCGCGGGCATGAATGCATTCTGATAAATGATCTTGTATCTGAGTGCCTGCTCATGCATACGTCATCAAGCAACTGTAAGGTTATGTTGGATGAACACAACAGGCTGTGGATTAAAGCTATAATACTGTAAATAATGTTAAATTTTTTGCACAGTCAGATCATTTTGCTTTCACAAGACCTCAGCGGATCATCAGGGGCCACAAGGATTGATTAGGACTTGTTTATATGTCTTTATTTAGATCTTAAAAGTGTACGAGCATTGATTTCTATTTTTACAAATCTCCAAAACAAATCCGAACATGCTACACAACTCCTTACCCTGGAACTTATTCTATCCAAGTCGGATTATTGTGATGCTCAACTGACAGACCTTCCAGCCCCTCCAGCCAACACTATCAAACCTCTACAACTGATACAGAGTTCAGGAATGAATGTGGTACATTCACACAATATGTACAAATTGTTCATTAAATCAATGAACAAGAATATTGTTATAACAGCTCTTCTCATCAGCTTTCTCACTCTCATTTCCATTCAACAACTTTCACCATTACTCTGCTTCATACTACCATGATAATTAGTAATGATTACTTTAGCACATTCATGACCATGAGTCCCTTAGGTCCCTGTCATACACCCGGTGCAAGATGTGTTTACCATGATTTGTTGCTTGATTTTCAGACCAGTGCAACCTTAACTTTCATGTTTTGTGCCACGTTGTTTAAATGGCAAATCAATTTGAGCCACTTTGTACATTCATGGGTGTTTCGGACTAAAAAGGAGGTGTGTTAAGGTGCATTGTTGGCGTATTGCTATTTTAATGAACTGAAACATAGTAGACTGCACCATTGACCAAATAAAACCTGGCCGAAATTCCAGCGCAGATTGCGTTAGTTATGTGCCTATATGCAGGTCCAAATGCTAACACATTGCTTAATAGAAACAGGATGTACAACAATCAACAAATATCTTTACATATGAAAAAAATAAAGGATTAGGTTATTCATGACAATATGCATTTGTTTAATGTTATTATTATTAGCAGTATTATTTATTATATCCATATTTGTATTTGTTTTAATAAAAATAGGTTAAGATTTGTCTATCCGTCGGGTTTTGAAGACGTATGCATCAGTAAATGGGGCATCAGAATAGGATGTGTGTTTTGATATAACTCTGTATATAACAGGGGTGTCAAACTCAATTCCTGGAGGGCCGAAGCCCTGCACAGTTTAGTTCCAACACTGCTCCAACACACTTACCTGTAGGTTTCAAACAAGCCTGAAGGACTCAATTAGTTTGATCAGGTGTGTTTAATAAGGGTTGGAACAAAACTGTGCAGAGCTGCAGCCTTTTGGAACTGAGTTTGACACCTGTGGATATATAACCACAGTTCATTATTATTGTTTATTTATTCATTTGTTGGGAATTAGAACTAAATTTAGAAATAGTTTTGAAACAAATGTTTGTGCGAAACAAACAAAATAAATATGTAAGCTAATAGATGTCTTCAGTGGTGCACGTATAACACTGTTTGTCCACAAAAGTAAAGGAATAAAGAAGAGAAAAAATAAAGTAAAGACGCTGAATGGAGGAGGCTTGTTCTTTATCCTCCCGATGCAAAATGGTCTGTTTAACCATTTTCTCGCTAGTTAAGTGTTCAGTTTTTCCTCTTACAAAGTCCACCATGTAAATAGTAAATGTGCCATGGTTCGACACGACTCTTTAAGTGAATGGGAGACGAGACTCTGATTGGTTTATTTCACAGTATGCTCATAACCCATAACTCATTAAGAGAATAAGCACAACCCTGTTACACCATGTGCCGGGGCGCAGAGCGGATCTTTCCGTCCTTAAAATAGCAAAAGTTGATTCGGACATGCGCTTTTTACGCCATGCGCTTTAGACTTTGTGCCTAGATGATTAAAAATAGAGCCCATAGAATGTAACAACTACCGTGATTCCACACTCAGTCACGCTGACAATTTACATACTGTGCATTTAAATAGTTGTTAAATAGCATTTAAAAGTCTCTGTCCATCAATTTGCATCGTTTACCAATATATTTGTGCTTCAAATTCAAAGCATTAATGTTTGTCTAAAGAGAACAAAAACTGGCCCTGCAACCCTATACCTAAACTTACTACTCAGTCTTCTGTTTCCTTCAGATGCTGGCATTCTTTAAGTAAACAAAGCATTGTGTTGCCATCCTATAGAGGCACTAGTGGACCTTCACAGTGACTGTGAAACAATTAACCATTGTTGGCTATAGCATTCAAAACCAGTTTTAGGGTTTATGATCTAAAAAAAAATCAACATAATAAGAAAATCTGGTTAATTCAACCTAAAATTTTGTAGAATTAAATTCATTGACTATCATTTAGAGCAACATTTTAACACTGCATTTTAAATATTTATATTAATAATACATTTTTAATAGCATTTATAACCAGCATATATTTTCTCTAAAATATTTGGATGAACACTTTTCAGTGAATGACAATTCAAAAAGTCAATTGCTGAATAACCTTTTTAATGATTCACTGAAACGAAGGAATTTCATGGAAACTGAATCTTAGGAAAGTTAATGGCTAAATAAAAAATGCAGTAAAATCATTGCAACATAAGCAATATGTTCTGTAGATCACCCAGCCCTGGACACAAATTTGTTTTTAACAGGCACTGAGCAGGTATTAGTGAGTTTATTACAGGCTCCTGTACCACCACAAGGAGGCTGAATGACTCTCGGAGGAAGCCTAACAAGATCCTATTAAGATAGAAGGAGACAGCTGCTCTACTCAGGCACTCTGTCAGCAAACAAAATCTTATTTACTACAAACTTCTAGCACTAGCAAAACAAGCCCAGTGTAGCAGAGTGCCTAAGACTGCAGTTCTAATGTCAGAACTGAAGACGACAGTGAGTTTCACTGTCGTCTTCAGTTCTTATACTTAAACACGTGCATGCAACAGATACTTCACCTTATTCCAGTACAAACATGGACATTGAACTTAAAGTATGCATGGTTCACACCTGCTAGAGCCAAGGTCCAGGAGAGAGTGAGATTTAGTCAAACCACTGGAGACTGGGAATGCTGGAGAGATACATAAACAATGAGAATTACTTAAAGCACATGCAAATTTTGTATTTGTGTGTCACAATATATACGTCTATTGGTACATGCATACTTGTCTATCTGTGCAAAACGCTGTATATGCACAATTAGGAGTCATTTTAAATGTTAAATTTTAATAACATTGTTCCAATAAAATACATACAAGTATAGTACACTAACTTTTCCTACATGTTTTAAAAAATATCATCTGTGTAAAAACAAATGTACATCCATAATTGAGGGAGTAACCTGGTGTTGGTGTGAGGAGAGTTGCATTGCCGTTAGGTAAGGCTGGCACACTGATAGAGTTGGGCATCTGAGGCAGTGGCCCAGATATCAGGGTGGGCACAGGAACTAAAGGGGCCATGACAGGGCATGTGGGGATGGGTGTTAGGATGGGCATCACCGACATGGCGGAGAGATTTGGCATGGAGCCCATACCTGAAATAAAAACAGATTATCTGGAATCATTTCTATTAGGACTGCACAATATATTGTTTCAGCATCAATATTGTACTGTGTTCATTTGCATAAGTCACATCGCAGAATATGCAATGTTGAGTCTGGATTATAATCGATCTTTTCGCAAGTGTTTTTTTAAGCCTGTGACTGTGTGAGGATTTTAAAAGCATTCAGGCTTTAGAAACTGCAGCGTTTGTAACTTTGAATAAATAATAACTATCTGTCGAGTTCTTTTTGCAGCATTATTTTACATTTCATTATTCAATTACTATATTTATTGAAATGATCTATGCTTGTAGATTGTTTATTATGTTTTTATGCAAATACACTCCCCTACAAAATCATCCCAGTCAATCTAAAATTCTTTCCAAATAGTTTTTCAAGGCATCTAGTGTAATTGTATTCATATCGCAAATACAGTATATTTGCAGAATAACAAAATTCACAATGTTGGATTTTTCTAATATCATGCAGCCCTAATTTCAATAAAATCTATTGGTGCCATACCAATTATTAGCTGATTTATTTATTTAATAGTACCAGCTCATGAAAAAAAAATATTCATTTTCCACTGATTATTTAACAAAGGTATTCTGTGGTATTCGGATTAATAAAAAAAAACATTTACTTAATAGTAAATGTAGAAGATCTCATCCTAAATCACATTCATTTGTACATTTTTCCTATTTTGCATTTATGCTTGATTTTGGATTTTAATTAGTTTGTTTTGTTTTAGCTAATATCAACATTTTATTTCATATAGTTCAAGTATTAAATAAAGCTTATGAGGCAGTCAATTTAATAACTTTGTTACAATTAAGCCCAAACAAATATTGTACACTGACTTTTCCTAAACATGTGCACATTTCACTCTAACATTGGCACAAAAGTCAAATGGACTGCATGTATTACAGCATATGAAGCTTTTTCCTGTGCTTTTGAATATGTTTGCCTCTGTTGCCAAGCAACTTTGTGCTAACACAAACATAACTTTCTGAAAGCAAAACCATAACTTTACTTCAGGCATGTCTTTTAAAAGCAATATTTTTACGGCAGTAAAACATTGCTCTCCCACTTGCCAAACAAAGTGAGATAAGAAGCTTTACAGGTGGTCTAGTAACTTATTAAACAATTATAGTAAGTAAACAATTATAGGCTATATTACAAAAAATATTGTATTTTCAGAATAATGACTTGATAAAATATAACAACAGGCGACGCAGTAGGTAGTGCTGTCACCTCACAGCAAGAAGGTCGCTGGGTCGCTGGTTCGAGCCTCGGCTCAGTTGCCGTTTCTGTATGGTGTTTGCATGTTTTCCCTGCGTTCAGAGACATCCACAGTCCCCCACAGTCCAAAGACATCTGGTACAGGTGAACTGGGTAGGCTAAATTGTCCGTAGTGTCTGTGTGAATGAGCGTGGGTGGATATTCCTAGAGATGGGTTGTGGCTGGAAAGGCATCCGTTGCTTAAAAATGTGCTAGATAAGTTGGCGGTTCATTCCATTGTGGCAACCCCAGATTAATAAAGGGACTAAGCCGACAAGAAAATGAATGAATAAATAAAATATATAACAACATTCAAAGATTAGTTATATAATCTTTATATAAGCTTACAATACAACAAAAAATCAATTCGGTAAAGTCATATGTGAATGATCCGAATGACTACAGAATTCTGGTAGCTCTAGTGTTTAAAAAAAATTAATAAACAAAAACAACGATGATTTATTAAGAGTTTTAAAGTCATTCATTGGCATATTTCATATCAAAAATGATAATACATTCTAAATTTGGAATTATTTTACTCACAATCTAATATGAGCTTCAACAAACCAACCACAAAGCAAACAAAGCTCACAAATATCAACTCTTACCGAAGCGTGACGATGACGTCATCACAGGGGTGGGCGTCTGCTTCATGATGATCGGCAGGCTGGACGGAAGTGGCTGACCCTGCAGCTGCAGTTTAATTAGTTTCATTGCAATAGAGAACTCCAATCTGTCCATCTTCCCATCCTTTCCTATGTCCGCCAGAGCCCTGAAAGAAAGGAAGCAGCCATTCTCATCAACCGTGGCTTACAGGGCACTAATTGCTATTACAATCCCAGTGGAGAAGCCCGCTTGGTGTGTGATGACAAAGCAGAATTATAGTGAGTTCAGATCTTTGTTATGTAATCCTGCTTATTTATGAACAAGACGTTTTTTAGACATCAAACAATCTGCATCCTGCATCAGCAAATCTACGTCCTGTTTGTGGATGGGCGACAGTGTTTACACCAGTAGACTAACCGCAGACAGGAAGAGGTTGCTTTTGGGAACCTCCACCCTCCAAAGAGGTATGTGGCTACAAATGCACTTTGTCCCACAACTTACATCTCACAATGCTATTGTGATAAGTGCAGCCCTGTCATCAAAAACATGCACACAAACACAAATCCTACATATATGTGGAGTTTATAATATGCACAAGGTGGTCAGTTTTCTTTTATTTAACATGGCTTTCAAAAATGAAAACAACATATTTCACATTTTGGAAAGAAATAGGAAGGACAAGTCATTTGAAGAAAAGTGGAACTGGATTAAGTGTGTATATTAAGGGTGTGTGTGTGTGTGTGTGTGTGTGTGTGTGTGTGTGTGTGTGTGTGTGTGTGTGTGTGTGTGTGTGTGTGTGTGTGTGTGTGTGTGTGTGTGTGTGTGTGTGTGTGTGTGTGTGTGTGTGTGTGTGTGTGTGTGTGTGTGTGTGTGTGTGTGTGTGTGTGTGTACTTACCAGATGTCTGCCAGGACCGATGTGGGAAGACCAGATTGGAGGAAGAACTTTCTTGCTTGATCTCCTAGAAAGAAATTAAAAGCAAGTGATGTGCATGTATAATCACAGAATACAGACTAAATGATTTATATTTTCAAAAATGACAACAAAAAATGTGATATTCTGCAATAGAATAAATGTTTTTTTTTCTGTTTTAGTATATTTTAAAATATTCCTGTGGTGGTAAAGCTGACTTTCAGCTCTCACTATTACAGTTTTCAGTGAACGTGATCCTTCACAAATCATTCTGCTAATTTGCTTCTCAATAAATGCTTCTTATTATTATCAGTGATAAAACCAGTCGTGCTAGTTAATATTTTTGTGGAAATCGTTCTGTTTTTATTATAAAATGCAATTTCTCATTATAATTATTTTAAAAAATAACATCATACATGGCTTTAATATTAATTTTGATCATTTCAAGTGACAGTTCACCTAAAAATAAATATTTACTATTTACTTGACTTTTACTACCACTTTTATTTACTTTAAATGGTCTCAAAACTGTGTGACTTTCCTTTTTTTAGTTTGCCACAGAAGGCTGTCAAACCTTTCAACACAAAGAAAGATATTTTTGAAGAATGAAAGAAACTGGTAACCAATGACTCTAACATTTTAAAGGGAGCCTATTTTACCCCTTTTTTAAGATTTAAGATAAGTCTTTTGTCTTCAGAATTTGTCTGTAAAGTTTCAGCTCTAAACACCCATCAGATTATTTATTATAACTTTCAGAATATTGGAATTTTTCTGCTCTGAACACAATGTAGCTGTTTTTGTTGCCTGTGCCTTTAATGCTAGTTCTTCCCGTCCACCGTTCCCACATGCCTGTCAGAGTGTTTCTCAATCTCAGCTGAGCTGGATAAACAGCACAGAGACGGACAAGAAGGAAGCAGATCTTACGTAATGTTTGTGAGAAATACTCCAGTAAGTACTTTCCTAATGATTATATGATGTATGTGTTGTGGAGTTAATTCAAGCCTTTCTGCAACGATGAGTCACACACAAAGTCGTCATAAAGTTCACGCACACACACAGCAGACACACACCCACACGTTTTTGCATGGAAAATGTGACAGGATACACATTAATATCCGCTTCTGTATGGATATCTGTGATGTTAATGTAATGCTAATAAACCTGATTTAACATCCACAAACCAGGATTGAATCATCTTCTTTTATAATTGTACTGACATGCTGCTGTGCCGATAAAGAAAAGACGGTGAAATCGCTGTAATTCATTGCAAACACGCACTGTTTTAAAAAGGGTTCAAAACTCCTTCTTGATCACATTTGATGATGAATGATGATCACAGAAAGCTGAACAGATCCTTTAATCCCAGTTGCCTTGCACACGTACTCTCTTGTCCAAACGATTATACACATTACAATGGCGACATGTTAATACGCGGATGTCAATCAATTCGGTGGGCGGGGAAACCGCACTCCTACGTCACATTGCAGTGATCCTCAAAATGGGAGGGATTTGGATCCTATTTTAACGTCAGGAAATTTAATAAAGAAAAAATAAACTGATTGTCTTTATATCACCCCGATATGACTGTGGACACACTATACACAGTTCTGTCCAACTGCTTACAAAAGATGATTTTCATCATAGGTGCCCTTTCAATAAATAAATAACATCTAAATAGATATATATATATATATATCATTGACCTCAAACCTTCACACTGTATGTGCTCTTTCTTACCCGACAAATATCCCAGGGTGGGAGCCAGCGAGTCAAACTGTTTGTCATGTTTCCCCCTCTCTTCTGGAGTTATAGCCCAAATAGAAAAGCCACCTGTGTTGATGAGAGGGACAGAAAATGAAAAAGATTTTTATTTTGATTATCACGTTCTGTCTTCTCAAATCTCTTTCTGGATCAGCTGTTGTTTTTCCACTTTCAGGGTTTTGAAGTTGCTGCCAGTTCTCTGCGAGATGTTGTCTGTTGCTTTGACGAAAGCTGTTTGACTTGTATAATCCAGGCATTAGAGGTGTTTTACTGGAGGGAGGCGGCATGTTTTACACTTTTAATAGAATGACAGCCCCATTAATAACTCTTCAGTATTTATTGTCAAGCATGGTGTCTTTTAGAGGCAGCAGGCGAAGATCCATCAAAAATGTCAGTGTAAATGACACTTAACATGCTCAAAGTGGGTCAATCTCAACACAGCTTTCGCATCGAGTGCTGAAAGCGAGCCTCTATCAGCTGCTGGCATTTTTTGACACTGCTCTTAATAGGTTCAGACAGTGCTTCATTTAAAATATACAGCTTTATAGCAGATCTGACCACAGCTGCAGGAGGCTATATCAAATTGCCATAGTTTTTCGATAGCAAGATACATTTATTTATTTAGGCTATTAATTATTCATAAAACAATAATATGCCATTGCATATAATACTAAGTATGTCTCTAAAAATGCTAGTTGCAGTCTTTCTTATTTGATGAGAGAATAGGACAAATGTTATTACACACTTTTTTCTTCTCTTCTTTACTGTTTTGTTCACTCTCTCTCTCTCTCTCTCTCTCTCTCTCTCTCTCTCTCTCTCTCTCTCTCTCTCTCTCTCTCTCTCTAGGGGGGTACACATACACTACTTTCAGCTCATGTTTGCTGCATTGTCAGCAGATCTGAGATTCAGAAAAAGGCCATCATGATTAATTAAGCGCAGGTCTATTAAATCATGTGATGTCGTTCTTAACCGAAATTTAGCCCATTCAACTTAAAAAAAGTTTGACTGTTTTAGATAATCAGCCTGCACTTAAGCAAGCTTTTTAATAAAAGAAAATAACACATTAATGACTCAAAGTACTGTAGGTGCACTAAAAATGTCTTTTCTATTTAATAAAGGCTAATCTCTAAAAAAAATACATTGTCATCATATTTGAAATATATGATTCTGTGACCACATTTACAGTACGCATAAGCAGAATACAGTTGTCAGTCAAGCATGTGAGTTATTAATACAGCATGCATTCATACATGTTGTGGTTACTTACAGAAGTGACAACCACATTTTACAAATGAACACACAGCCATAAAATCAGGCTTAAACCAGAGTGCAAATTACAGGGGGTTGGGAGGGTTTCTCAACCCTAATTAATTCCATATCCCCCCTGAAGATAATTACATAAGTTAGCGTAACAGCAGGTGCAAACTTCTAACGTTTTCTGAACAACTTTTTGAAAATGTTTTATACACACTGATGCTAAAAACTAAGAACTGACACATGGCACATGATGTGATCATTGAACTACAAAGACATATGTGGATGCTTGATCTTAAACCAGTTAGCTTATAAGCAGGATATAGGACATATTTATAAGGGATGCTCAGATCCATCGGCTGAAGATTGTTATGGGCTGATAATCACATTTAATAATTCGATCGGTATTCGCCAATCTGGCTGATCTCATGAACTGATTTCAGGTGTTTGTTTAAGAGTTTACAAGCAGAGAAGGACGCACATGTGCTCCCGTATATTATGCATAGCCTATAGCAGCCACAACACTTGAGGAGGTAAATAATGCGTGGCGGCTTGAGCGATCGATATGCTCGTATCACAGCAGCTAAAATATAGAGTGATCATCTCTTTGTTGCAAGTGCAGCCATTGTATTTGAAAATACTTAAATGGCCTTGCATGTATTTAGGCTTTTTTACTTATAACATATGTAAGTTGTTATATGTAAAGCAGGCTGGATTTATTAGATAAAACTTGAAAGTATTTTTTTCATGAATAGTTAATAATATAACTTCTTGTTATACGCTTATTGCAGCAAACAGTAGTTTATAGAGCTATTTCCTTTTTAGTAAATGTTAATGGAATTATTGGTGTGTGTTATAACTGCGTATGCATCATGAGATACGTTTCTTGATTGCGGTATGTTGAATTCTTTCATTATTTGCAATGTTTCCCAATTGTACCAATTTTATATCTGTTATATCATTTCTTGTAAAGCTGCTTCTGGCCATGCACACTAAATGGCTATAAGACACAAGTTTAAGGGATTATATATAGCATACTTAATTTATTCTCTTAGGTAAGGAAAAAGCTGCACTTACAGTTGAAGTAAGAATTATTAGCCCCCTGAATTATTAGATCCCCTCTTTAATTTTCCACAATTTCTGTTTAACAGACAGATGTTTTCAACACATTTCTAAACATAATAGTTTTAATAACTCACTTCTAATAACTGATTTATTTTATCTTTGCCATGATGACAGTAAATAATAAGACACTTCTATACAGCTTAAAGGGAAATTTAAAGGCTTAATTAGGTTAATAGGGTATATGCCGAGCTAGCATTGTTCCCATGCTAATAAACATCCGGTGACCAGTTATTGTGAGTTTTTTTTTACCATTTTATATGGTTTCTTCTACAGCATCGATGTTGTAATGTAATTAAAATACATTCAGTTAAACATACTTTGGCATTCATTCAGTTGCTCAAGCGTAAAACGAGAGAATAAGCCTTTTACTCGCATGCGCCTGTTAGAATCGGCGGGCAAATACAGAAGCTCCATTAAATATACTGGGGTAAAAAAAAAGCTCATATTTTAAAGACATGGCAGGGGAAATGTAATTTATTGCAGTGCTTCTTGTACAATCTGAGATCCACTTTATATCAAATATCACTCAGCCAGTGGAGAGCGCTGATTTTTAAAGAAAACAGATCTTAAACGCGCCGATTTTGCATTGGCATTCAGTTCACTGGAAGTGGTTAACCCAGGTTACTGGCAAATTAAAAGTCCTATTACCATGCTTCGGCATATACCCTATTAGGCTTACTAGGCAGATTACGGTGATTAGGCAAGTTATTGTATAACGATGGTTTATTTTGTAGATTATCGAAAAAATATATAGCTAAAAGGGGCTAATAATTTTGACTATAAAATGGTGTTTAAAAATTTTAAAACTGCTTTTATTCTAGCCGAAATAAATTAATAAGACTTTCTCCAGAAGAAAAAATATTATCAGACATACTGTGAAAACTTCCTTGCTCTGTTGAACATAATTTGGAAAATGTTTAAAATATAAAATAAAATTTAAAAGGGGGGCTAATAATTCTGACATCAACTCTAAGTATCATAATGCATTATAAAGCTTGAAGCATCAAAATTGGTACTCAGTAATGGCTGATCACCATGACAAACAATCTGTACTCGGATTTGGCTATAAAAATCCTGATTGGAGCATCCCTAATATATATATTTGTGGAGGAGCTGATGTTGGGACTATTCTGAGGATTTTTTTAAATAACCTAATTGTATTAACAACAGTTTAGCTTTACTATTTACAGTGTATTTAAGGACAAACGGTTTCATAATCAGGTCTACTTACACTGAAAAGTAACAGAGTATGTTGGTGTGGGAATCAGAGAGTCTGGTCATTTATTTTTGTGTATTTTTGATACCTTCAGGACAAAAGGTGAAACGTCGAGGTGTATTACAAATTTAGGTCCATTCAGCTATTGAAGTGGCACTGCAGGTCTTTGTTTTCAAAAGGTACTGTAGCAAGCTTTTGTGCTTATTCAGCATAAGTGCTTATAAGATACAGTTTTGCCAATTTGTGCATACCAGATGAAAAATGTGATTTATAGAAGCTCAGAAAATTATGTTTGATTCAAACAAACAATAAAGCAAGTTATTTAAGCAAGTTGTTTAAAGCAAACAATATATATTTATTTACTGTGCTTTTCCTGCTTGATAAAACTGTGAAGATGCAACCATTTCCCTAAAGTGCTTAGAGGATTAGCTTCTAAACAAATGAATGAGTACAAGGAGAAAATAAGCATGCAGACACATACACACATACAGAGAGAGCATAGTCCTATAAATATTCTCACACTGCTGAAATTAGCATTTATTTGAGGTGATTTATCTTGTTGGCATCAAATATACACAATTTACTCAGAAGTTAATTATTAGCATTACAAATCCTCAACCTCAGCTTTCCTGTTGCCACCCTCCTGACGTTGCTTTCAACAGACCTGAAAATCTCTCTCTGGATTTTTTAAATTACAAGTTTTAGCATTCATTTTGTCCAGATTTACTTTAAAGCCACATAACAAAACAGAGCAAGATATTAAACAAACTCTACTGCCAGCTATTGGCTGCACTCTTTCTCTCTAGCTCATCATTCGGCTGCGAGATAAATATTTAATCAAACCATTAGTGGGAACTGACTTGAACCACAGCCGAATGCTGTCTCAATCAGCAAATCTGGTAGACATCTTGCTTAGATTTCACTTACAAAGCACTGATGGTAATATCAAGTCTTTAGATACCATAAAACTGATTTACACATTTTTTGATGCTTTTATTCAAAGAATCACTATGTTGACAGTGGTCTTGGCTTTTAGAGGCTATTTTTAAGACAAAACTTATCAAACACCCAAACACAATGCTTTGTGCTGGATTAAATGGGCTTGTTGTTCAGAAAGTGTGTACCTGTGATGGTATTTCAACCTCTGAAGGGTGTAAAAAAATCTGTAAATGTGTCAGAAGCTACAGTATGGTATCAAAGTACTATAGTATTACTGTACCATACCTGACTGCAACTGTACAATGATGAAACCTCAGTAGATGTAAAAATTGTTTTGAAATTGTTACAATTTAACAGAAGTAGCATCTGATCTTTTTATAACATTATTATAAACTTCACTGACAAAACAAGAAAATGATGCTTTAAAGTTGAGATTAGCACAAGTAGCTCCTAATTTATCAAATATAAGATACTGACTGAAAGAAATGGTCACAAACATAACAATGGAAAAAATAATGTATATATCTTATATATAATGTATTTATATTAAAAGATAAATACAAAGTTTCTGAAAGAGTTTTCTTTAAAATTGTTCCTAAAATGTGGTGCAGTATAAAGTCGATGATTGGTGAATAAAAAGAGATCTCATAATGTTTATTTATATACTGAGAATGAGTTTTTCTCTAGTGATTATTGTTATTGTAATTTCTAAATGTGAAGTTAAAATAAAATTTAAATATTCAAAAAAGAAATAGCTTGAAGTTAAACAGTGAACTTTTATAAGTGATTTCACAAAAGCGCTCCACATATATCAAAACTTCATAAGCAAAATCCCTCATGGAAGTTAAGCAAATATTAGCCTGTGCCTATATAAATAGGGAAGCAGTCATTAGCAGCTTTCAGCTGGGTGTGCTTTGTACAAACACTGTGCTGAATCTAAAAAATGTGAACATTCTGATAACTTTCTGTTCACTCATAAAATATTCTACAAGAATACCAGAACCTCTGAAGTTTTCATCATAGTGCAATTCTGCATATGTGCTATACTATAGGGATTCAGCACACAAGCCAAATAAGCAGTGCTTAAATTATTCTCCATTGACTCTTCCTCCTTTTTAAGAGATAGTTCACCCAAAAATAAATGCCCTCATTATTTACTGAGCCTCATGTTGTAGGCATGACTTTTTATTGCAGGACACAAAAGAAGATATTTATTCTAATCTAATGTATACAATGAACGGAGACCAGCTGTCAAGCTGCAAAAATGACAAAACGAACCATAAAAGGATCAAGGAATTAGTCTGCAGCATGGTTTCCATGTTATGCACCACTATTCTACATTATTTTTAACATGTTAATTAAAACTACTACAAAATGACAGCATTTTGTAAGTAATCCCACAGAAATGCTGTAGATTCAAGCTCTTTTTTTGGAGCTGTACAATGCAATAGGTCTTTTTACACAATGTATTTTCTACTATTGTAGTTTTAGTGTGCGCAATTTGAATAGGACAAATGCAGTTAGCATGACTATATAACAGTCACAGCTTTATAAGAGGATATTTACATCAAATCACCTTTCACTATACAAAAAAGGTCAGCATGGACATTCTGCTAAACATCTTCTTTTGTCCTCCACAAAATAAAAAACTTAATGGGTTTTAAAAGCACACACAGGTAAACGGAAATTGATTTAAATAGGATTCATGCCTATGACACACTCAAAAAAAGTGCTGCGTTCTTACCATTCATGACTGCAGGTGGGATGTGAGGGATCCTCTACTCCACTGGCTGGATAAAACTCATCTGTAGAAACAGAAAGAGAAAGTGAGGAGGATTTTTACATGCAGATGAGCAACAGAGGACACACTCAGATGGGAAGAGAACAAGGTGAAGCGAGAGAGAGAGAGAGAGAGACTGCGAACAAGTGACAAGGATTAAACAGGAAAGAAGAGAACAAGTGGAGAATAATGAGATAGCGTTTCTTAAAGGATGGACGAAATACACCTCTTTTCAGTCGCTCTTATATATTTCCTCCATTGTTTCTATCCATTTTCCTCTTACACTCAGTCTTGTTGTTTGCCATAACACACGTGTGCATGCAACAAGCCACATCCCCTGAGCACCATCACGCACTCGCACACAAACAGGATATTGATTGTGCCAGAGTGTTTTGCCTAATGCAAAAGCGATTGTTCGTCTCTGTCTTTGCTCTAAAGCTCTTTCTGGGAAAGCAGCCCTGTGTCTCGCAGCTGAATCCCGAGTCGGTGCTCCATGGGCAGATTGAACACACACAAGCCAAACACAAACTCTAAGCCCATTAAACACTCGTTGGAAATATCTCTAGAAGTTCAGTGAGTCAGCTTCCTAGTTTCTAAAAAAAAATAGATATCGAAATATTGTAGATGTATTGTGTGGTGAATTAGTGGGACAGAACATACAATTATTTTGAATAAACAAATAATGAACTAAAACATTTTAAATGATAAGAGATGCAAGCTGCAAGATTGCACAACATACCAAACAGCTTAGAATTAGTAATCAATTAATAATCAATCTTTAAAGACACAGTACATACAGTGAGTATGCATTGATATTTGCAGTATTTATTATGATTTTAAACTTTGGGGCTTAAAAGATATTATAAATATTGCATCACAGCAAAAGTCTCCAATGCTGCATTTTTTATTTATTGTTATTTTTATTTTTGTTAAATGTAATGTTAACGTTAAGGTAATGGTGATGTCAAATTAAATGTTATACTAGTGAATAAAACCGAATATTAAGCAGCCTTTACTGCAGTCTTCAGGGTCACATGATCATTTAGAAAGCATTTTAATATTCTGATGGGATGCTAAAAAACTTTCCTTCTTTTTCCTCATTTTTATTTAATTTTCATTTCATTATTAATATCAATGTTCAAAACAACTGTGCTAATAATCATTGTGTGTAAACAGTAAAACACTTTTGGGATTTTCTGATCAATTTAAAGATCAAAGAAGCAATTTATTTGAAATATTTTTATAAATAGTATTTGATGCAGAGTCAGCAAAAATCAGTCATAAATGTGATTTCAACATTACCTAAGCTAAACTGTAAACCTGCAGATTCAGAACCCGGATAGACACAGATTCCTAGTTAAACTGTCACCAGTGTGAGAAAGTTTCATGTGTTCAAACAGTAAAATAAACTTGAAGGTATTTTAGTCACAGACTAAAAAAAAATGTTGTGTACAGAACAGAAGGAAGACCACCCATTGTGAAATCTCATTGTCCTAATTAATTGTGATAGTGCCATGTGGATTAGTTTCACGTTCAGAATAGAATCAAATTCACTATTGCTTTAAAAACTGATTACGGCCATTTCTTACAGTGCTTTCAACGTCTTTCTTCTTTATCAGGGGTTGTCAGAGTGGAATTATCTGCCAACTATTCTCACCTTTGTACACTTTTGTAGATAAATATTTAAAGTGCCCCTGTATGCTATTTAAAAAGATATCTTTGAGCTGGAGGGCTTGAAATGGTCTGACATCTACCCAGAGTCTAAAAGCACAAAAGTGAAAATGTGAAGGAAAAAAGTGTCAATTTATGACATGTTGCATCAAATATCTTTGTTCCTCTTGTTCATTTCTGCACTGACAGTAATAAGCAATCACATCCTTTTCTGTTGAGCTAATGAAAACAAGGAGCAACCAGTTGCAGTTGAGAGTGCATCTTCAGTGACTAAATTCTTCATGCATGCAAATTCTATCATCATAAATAACAAAGTGTGCAGACAACGTACTGCAAGTGAGAGATTCATTTTGCAGCTTCAGTAATTATAACAGCCGTGTTTGTGAAAAATTGCATTATTTATTAAATTTATTATTTTTTGTCTGGACAATAAATGCTGATGAAGTCGGAAAAAAATGCAAACTCACTACAGAGTTTGAGAGAGAGAGTAAATGATGTTTGAGGGCATGCAACCAATGTAAATGTGTTACAGATCAATGTAGATCACTTATGGAAGTGAAACTGGAATTGCTGGTGACCCATTTCGGCAATTCAGAATTGATTCTTTTTAGGAAAGAATACTGTAGCTTTATTTATTGTGCAATTTGATCTTTAAAAGATTGCAGACTTTTACAGTCAGAAAGACACTAGCTATGTTTCCATCCACCTATTTTGCAAATGCGCATAAAAAAAACAGTTGATGGAAACGCCATGATGCGCATAAATTTTGAAAATGCGCATAAAAAACTTATGCGCCTAACTGGGTAGGATAAACTTTTTATTCGATAAGAAAAGATGCGCATGAACTGCGATGAAAACACTTTTACCGCACAAACTCCAGCATGCGCATTAAAAAAGGTCATGTGATTTTGTTAAAAGAGATCATGTGATGCTTAAAATGTTTGTGAATGGACAAAACGTCAGGCTGAGCACATTATAAAACATCTGAAATGTTGTTTTGGTCATTATAAAACGCCTTACCGTTTCAATATTAGTGTTATATTATTAATGACCTCCAGAATCAAGAGCGCCTGTGCTCCGCGTCTGACACCTTCAAACACCACTGCGTGCTCACTGCTTGTCAGAATTGTCTTCTGAGGCGCATTCATTTAGAAAAGATAGATGCAGCTTCTCCTACTGCAGCAAATGCAGTTTTTACTGTTGATATTTGCCGCCAGTTAATCAGGAAGTGACGATTTTGTTCGCTTTGACTCGTTGGGTGGAAACGCTGCTTTATGCGCAAAACTGGATTATCGCATAAAACTTGTGCGAATGAAGTTTATTCGCATTTTTGGATGGAAACATAGCTACTGTGGGCCTGTAGAACCTACAGTAACTTACTGGCAGAAGTCTAACAGTAAATTACTGTAAATCAATTACAGCAAAAATACTGTGTTTAAATTTATAGCACTATTTACCTTGTTACATATGTATTTACAGATTTGTGTGTACATATTTACCGTAAAATATACAGTATTTTTTCACAATGCAATGTTAAAATACACTTGCTATGTTTCCATCCAAAGATGCAATTTGAATTTATGCGCATAACTTGAATATTCCATAAAAGACGTGCGGATAAAGCAGCGGTTTCCAAGTAGTCAAAGAGAACAAAATCATCACTTCCTGAATAACTGGCGCCAAATATCAAAGGTAAAAACAGAATTTACTGCGGTAGGAAAAGCTGCGTGAATCTTTTCTTTATTTGCACCTCAGAAAACAGTATGCCGACATGCAGTAAACGCGTGGTGGCATTTGAAGGCATCAGATGTGGACCACATATGCTCTTGACAGTTCTGGAGGTCATTAATAATATAATAACACTAATACGGAAATGGTTAAGGTGTTTTAGAATGACCAAAACATTTTAGATGAGTTGCAATGTGCTCAGCTTGCTGGTTTGTCCATTCACACGTTTTTAGTTTATGCACATCTTTTATTATCAAATCAAAAGTTTATCCTACTTAGTTGCTTTTATGCGCATTTTCAAAATGTATGCGCATCTTAGCATTTCCATCAACCAATTTTTATGCGCTTATCTAAAATACAAAAAAGAGAATGGAAACGTAGCTAGTAACATACTACATAACTGTCCAACAGTAAAGTACAGTTCATCATATTACAGTTAAATACTGTGTAATTTACAAAGCAACTTACAATAAACACTCCATCAAAGGATGTTTTTAAAAAGCATAGAATGAGCCTTTTAGATATCTTTAGTGGGGTTTAAGTGTTTTGAAAACTAGTAGTAATGTATTAGTTACAGAATTCTTTCAGCATCCTCTATTCCCAAATAAAGACATTGCCAAAGCTAAAATACATTTAAGCATTTCAACATCAGCCTGTCTAACAGTTACTTTAGAAATATCACATTCTTGATGCAAGTTCAAAATTCCATAACTTATTATTTGTTAATAAACCGAACTGACTGGAATGTTTTCAGATGGCAGTGATTTCAGCTGGGCAATGGGTGGAGAATCGGTGGTGGAGGTGCAGCTCAGTTATTATCAACTCAGAATTTAGAGACAAACATTACATTTTAGTAGCACCTGCTCCGTTATGTTGGAGTGCATTAGTATACAAATCAGGATCTCTCAGACTGCACATTCCCTGTCAGCAAATTTTCCTGCGGTATTGGGAGTGTTAGAATCTACTTTTTTTAACTACTAATTAGTCTTCTTGCCTGCCAGTGACTCAGTAGCACAAACCTTCTGCTCATTTACTTTTACATTAGAGCAGTCTGATGCATTTAAGGCAGCAAAAGTCATATTATAAATTGGTTGAGATCATGCTCTGCACCAAAAATATTCCCATCTGGTGTTCTGCAGAGCTTTCTGTCCAGTGAAGTACTACTGGTAAAGCTT